GATCTGTTTCCAGGTTTCATGGACAATTACAATTACCATTGTCATTGTCAAACAGATGTATGTACCCGTTAAGGATTTGTTTAGTGTTTAGAGAGTGTGCCTGATGGAGTGTCAGTCTATTTTTTGGTATTTGTATGATCTCTCTGTCCATTCATATGCCCACTTGTATGAGCTTATATTAGATTCTATCTGTCTTCCTGTATAAGATACAATTATCTACTGTTTCTATCTAGTCCTTCTGTTTCTTTTGTATCAGTGCTTGGGAATAGTTGGGGATGATTGGACGGAATGTAATTAGTTGGATCAACATTTGCTTTTAATGTGGGTCTGGTTTAGATTTCCATGTTGACTTGGGTTTAATAAACACCCATTTAGCGGTACTGTGCCAGTGTGGTTTTTAAAGTTAAGAACTTAAATACGTCTAATTAATGACTTGCCAACTTAGCTGCAGTTTCAGCTTGAATTAATGTACTGTGAGCTGTGATCAAACAGGAGCAGGCTCTATAAATATTATCATTTTTATTATTGTATTATTATTATTATTATTTTTATTATTCATGTCTTCTTCACCCCCCCACCCCCTTCCCCCCATTTCTTCTTCAGTAAAATAATGACTAACGTGGTGAGCCTGTTTGCCTCATCATTCACCCTGTACTGGCCACGGTACTTCAACACCCAAGAGCTGCAGTACCCGCCGGCCTTTGATGCCAGAGTGGTGCTCTACCCATCCGACGACAACCTCAGAGACTACCTCAGCTGGAGACAGGCTGACTGTAAGAGTTCACTTCAGTGCATTTTTCATTTTGATACTAAAGTTCAATTTCGCTGTGTTTTTAGAATGCAAATTTTCCTTTATTGACAGTCCTTTACACAATATTACAAGAATTTTCACATCCCAATCTTTATTTTTTATTGTTCAGCAATAACATTTTTGCCTGTTTATTTCCTTCAAGTTGGCCTATATATGTTTTTATCTGTTAAAAAGTTTAAAAGATCCTCTATTTACAGTGATTGATGATTTCTGTTGCAGGTCACATCAACAACTTATACAACACATGTTTCTGGAAGCTGGTACAGGAGAAAGGTTTGACACCAGCTCAGTCACAAGAGAGACTGAAGGTAAGATCGTATGGGCACTGTATGACAAAGAGCCTCATCAGGTGCCTCCACTTTTCACGTCTTTTTGTGAACGCCTGAGTTTGGGCGAAGGATTTCCCTGCCCGCTCCGCAATGTTGTCGGTCCACCTCTTCCTTTGCCTTCCTCTCCTTTTGCTTCTCCTCCCCTGCTCAGTTCCCTAAAGAATGGTCTTGGATAAGCCGTATGATCTTGTTACATGGCCATACTACTTCTGTTTTCTTCGTTTCACAGTAGACAGCAAGTCTTCATAATGACTATGTGTTGTTTTCTATATGAGTTGGATTAATTGACATTGAATTGTTTAAGTTTTGACCTCACAAGTTTGTATTTCACAGTTCCAAACCTTGTCTCATCTCATCCAGGGCACTTTATCAAGCGACAAGAATGAGCTACTGTACTCACAGTTCAATATCAACTACAACAACCTTCCTGAACTGTACCGTAAAGGCACAGTGCTCATCAGACCTCGTGTAAGTTGAAAAACATTATTTAAATTTATCTCTAGAAAATAACCTGTAACCTACCACACTATACTTTGCATTGTGGTTTTTAATTTTTTAAAGACCAATACATTGCATGAACTCAAATTATTTTTACACTGACTAACAGTTACCATTCACATCATGGTTTTTCTAAAATGGTCAGAATGTCATGGGTTAATGACCTAAATGTCTTATCAGTGCATTAAGATTATAATGGGAAGTATGAAAGCTGGGACACAATCTGAAATCTGGTTAATTAGGACATGTTTAAAAAGTGACCCAGTAATGTTTTGATTTTAATCTATTTGTTTGTAGTTATTTAAGATCCCTGAATGACTGTCTATTTGAAAAGGTATGGCATTTGCTTTGTGCTCATTGTTATTGCACAATTGTACAGGAATGTTTGTACAGAGTCACATTTGTAAATATTGCTTCATGTTCTATACATTGTTGTCTTTTTCTGTAACACATGCTCAAAGTCAAAGTTTCAGCTCCAGAAAACCAATGTTGTCAGTGCAATGTTTTGATTGCTGACTTATGATGACGACATGGAGCTTTGAAGACTGAGATGCAGCTTTATTTGAAAAGAACTTGATATGCTCTTGCTTGTTTTATTGGTGCAGGATGCAGAGGCTCAGTCAGAGAGGGAGACCAACAACTACAGAGGGTACTCGGCATCCAAGAAGTCAGAAAGGAAACCGGGGAGTGTAGTGCTACACTCAGACATTATAGGCAAAAAATTCTGGGAAGAGCACCCGTATATACTAAATCCAAAGTTGTATGGCAGCTAACCATGAAGAATTTTATATCTTATAGACATGTACATGATATACATTGTATGTAAGCCCACATGTGACGCAGTTAAGAAACAGATCAGTATATCTAGTGTCTGTTCAGACCTGCTCTCCTCAGTGTCTTTGCTTTGAAGTTTGAGAGCCAAGACGAGGAAGAGAGATGATGATTGTGAAAGAACAGTTCTCACCTTTTTGAATAAACACTGTTGGGAAATGGTGTAGAGCTAGTTACGTGCAGCTCAAACATTCAAATATTTGAAACATTTTCCTGACTTAGTACTTTTATCTTGTGAAAAATTGTTTTCCTTTTTTATCTATTGCCAATTCCTGCATCTCGTTATTTAAGGTACAGTGGAATCCGCTTACACTGAAAATGGTTAACCGGAAAACGGCTGTGATCTGAAGGACAAAAAAAATCAGTTCTTTTTTTCTTCTTTGTCTTTGTAAAATAATACTGATCAGAAAAAATACTCTGAAACAACAAAAATTTCGAGCGTTATGTTGTCTAAATCGTCACTAGCGATCTGCAAATAACACAATTCATCAAGTCTTACTACTTCAAGACAGCGAAGAGAAGAAAGAGGCATGAGAACGCAATTGTGTAGATTCTGGGCTAGAGAGAGGCATTGCCAGTTTACTGTTTGCATAATTATGTTTATCACACACATCCAGAGGCCTATGCACTGTGTATAGCATAGTGGTGCAATTATTGTCTTAGCAAAGCTAGTTAACATACAATGAGACAGTGACCGCAAGTGATGTGTTTCATGACTTCATTGGCGTTGAGCCTTCTCACTTCTATATTCTTTAGGCCTAGCCTAGCACAGAGCACAGTATGACCATAGACTTTAGATTATAGTGTCAGTGGTGGTGTTCAGTACAATGTGCCAGTCTACTCTTTTGTCTGCTCTGTGTGACCGTTCGGCAGATATGAGCCAGCTGACAATTTCCAAGAGAAAGCGCAATGCGTACAGACTGCAGATCAATTGCAGTTATTGAAAGAGGTAGAAGCAAAAAAACAATTATAAAGTGAAAGTTGCTGCAAGCATGGCATTCCCAACTCTTCGCTGTCGACAGTCATCTCTGGGAGAGAAAAGAATTGTAATAACGAAGTAGTGCCGATGGGAAAAGCCCATTCTCACCCCTAGAAAGAAGAGTCCATAATTCAGTGATTGTTATTCTTGGGATTTGAGTGATGACTTCAGTGTGCACGCCATTTTAGCAATCTTTCTAAACCAAAGAAAATTTGGGGTTCCTGCAGATTTCAATTTAAACGGATTCCACTGTAACTTTATGTTTGCTTTTTTGTTATTGTATGTCAAGTGTTTTGTCTCTTACGTGTATGAGAATGTGGTATAAGTATAATAATTGGTGGGCTAGTGTTGTAAACCAAACTTTCACTTTTGTTCCCGTCATGTTTTGTTCTTTGAAAGTGACATTTGGTGGTTATGGGTTAAATAAATAATTGATTGTAATTTGGTTTTAAGGGCAATAGCCAAGAAAACCTTACTGGTTTTATTGTTTGATGAGATGGTAATAAAACATATTAATATAGATCTATTATGTATTTTTATAAACATTATTCCAAAGAAAGAATTTTGTCTTTCAAGTGGATGAATGTTTCTTTTTCTGGATGAATGAATATTAATTTGTTTTGAAAGTTTTCATTTCATTATCAGTACCATAATCAAAGCATTTAATAAATGAGTGAAGAATCTACTGTTTTATTATTGTTTTTTCTGTTTGATTTGAGCCAGCCAACGTACAATCAATCATGCACATAGCAAACACACACACAGTGAAGATTTTATCAATGTCATGCTCATACTGTGCCAGACCAACATAGGGGGAACTGCTGATTTTTCTTTCCTCATCATTACTATCGTCATTTTTCCTCTACTTCTTTTGTATGTTTGTCACTCTCTTGTGAACTGCTATTTCCAGGGTGCTTTGATAGTCGAAGCAGAATTTGTGCTGTAGAGGCTAGAGAGGTGAGCAGAGTAAGCCATGATTCCCCGTTTAGACTTCTCTGTTGACATCCACCCCTAGGCGCTCATATGACCTTATGACTTATGCAGTTGCGAGCGCTGTAAAACCTTACTAAAACTAAAAAAGAAGATTTTCAAGAACATCATGAAAAGATTTCTGTTTTCTGCCTTTTTCACTATGTGTGTGCTAGACTGTATTTTTAACAATTTCAGTTTCTTCAAAGATGCAAAAGAAACAGTTGCTTGAGAAGAAGACTAGATCTAATATTAAATTTTAAAAATAAGATTTGTATCATGTATTTAATATGAAATAAGATTTACAAGTGCTACCTATTACCCATGCACATGGCATTGAAGACCCATTATGCTTATACATGCCAGAACCATAGTAAGTGAATGGTTTTAATACCCCTATATCTATATTATGAGGTTATTTAAGAGGCAGGACCTTCGAATTTGATTTCCGTCTACGATAGGACCAAGCCTAATCGGTTGAGAGCTTGGAAAACCCGCAAAATGACCCGAGTTCAAGAATACCCAGTCTTGGATTTGAACCAGGGGCATCTACTATGCAGCCTAGCATGATATCCACTGAGCTAATGGAGCGCTCCTGAACTATATGGTGTCCTCTAAATTTTTATATCTTTACCATACAATTTTAAAACTTCACTGTTCCAGAACCATTACTGGGCTATATCAAGAAGTGCCACTTTGTTCTGTGCCTAGAGTAGATCTAATGCACCCTCCGTCGCACCAAACAAGATGTCATCTTTGCTTTGGCCTGCATTCTATATCTCAAATTGCAAGCTGTGGGGTTCCCATTTTTTAAAAAATTGATGAAGAGTACAACCTTTAGCATTAACAGCACTTACCTACCAGTACCACTTCTGGGCACTCTAGACCCATGAGCCTTAGGTCACAGCCAGACTAAATGAAAGAAAACTCCCCCCAAACTTATCAGTCATTGCCTACTTGAAAAGAACAAATCTGAAGGACCAGGCTATCAAAGCCAATGATAGACCCAACACTCTGGGTAGGTGGTTTCATTTCGCACTGTGGAGCACTGCTAACATTTAATTGCCCAATGAAGTTAAAAAATTGTCGTACTCTTTTATTTATTTAATTTTTTAGTGGAAGTTTTACGGCGCTCGGAACTGCATAAGGTCACATGAGTGCCAGAAGATTAGAGGTGTTACAAGAGAGTAACACAAACATAAAAAAGAAGAAGGAGAGACTAGATGTGAGATAGGAAAGAAGAAGCAAACCACACCAGAGCACTCGCCAACCACCCACGTACTCAACTTGGGGGGCACATCAGGACAAAATATTGAACAGTTCTATGTGCAAGGTTCAAGGTTTCTTTTGACAAGAGAGAAGGACCTACTCACTTCCACTTTGCAACAGTTCCTCTGCATTATTAAAGTTACAGTTCTCCCATAGGTGTGTCTGTGCTTACTAACTAACAAAACGACAAATTGTCAATGTCATTCCTCCACGATCATTTAAGTCATTTTTTTAAGTTCAGAGAAAATTAAAGCAAAGAAAGCGCTCAAATCAAAACCATGACTTCAGCAGTCATTTTTCAATTAACAACTGGGAAGGCAATAACGAACAGAACAAACCTATACTGCAACTGTAAAATGCCCCCCCCCCCCCCGTCTTTTAAAATCAAATAGGCCTATGGTCTTTATCACAAAATCCCCAATAATCTATTTGGGCAATTTTGAAACGACTGATGATGATGTATCTCAGCACCTACATACAGTAAGGACTACAGGACTACAGCAGTACTGTCACATCTATGAGCTTCAAGATTCAGAAAAGAAGCTGCATATATTTATGCTCTCATCACTGAAAGCACAGACAAAATGTAATTACTAGATCCAATGGACTACTAGTATACACACACACACATACAAACAAACAAAAATGAAAAAACAGAAAACAGAAAAACCATAGCTTTCTGATAAATATGATGTATTTACATTGATTCATTTAAAATGTTTTTTTTTTACATTTGCAATAACAGTGCAAATACTTATGTACATGTGAGTATGCAAGTCTAGCCAATGTAAGTGAATAAGCAAGACTGAGGGAATCTACAGTCAGTTGAAGATAAGAGAGCATTATATGGCAAAAAAGAATGCACTGGAAGCAAAGTTTCATCACACACAACAATATGCAAATGCATCCATTCTTTTCATTCACATCACATTCCTCTGATAAATACTGTTTGATTGTTCTCACTCTCAGCACTTCCAAAAACCCAGAGGTTCAAACATTGCATCATTGGCGGAAAAAGACAAAAATATTGAACAGAGCTATTGTTACTATCACATGGAATATAAAGTATGCAGTTACAACGCTTACAAAAATTAAGTACGAGAAAGAGCCGCGTGATCATAAGTGTGACTCTTGGACAACCGTCTGCCAACATTAAATAAATACGCCTCTCACTTTCACTCTGGAATGTCACACCCAGGTCCCGGCACAAGAGACCGAAATTCACAAACAAATGCAACCTATTCAGCTCTCAGTAGCCAGGAACCAACTCACTCATCCACATATGTTTATGTACAATTAAGAGCACAGACTAACACAGCCATAAATATATGTAAACATCACTAGGATATCAAGTTAGTTAGTAACTATCGCTTGCATAGAAAACAACAGGTCTTTTAGAACTTGACATTAAAAAGGCAACTGTCTATATCTTGCCGATCTGATGTTGTTTGTTCAATGTGGGCTTGTTTCTAGTTGGGAGTTTTCGTTTTAGTTAGTATTGACATATATGTGTCACGACATGGTAGAATCGGGTGCTCATCAATTTCAGGCAAATGGAATTCTTGGAATCATCTTAAAGCCTGTTCATTTGATCTGCTTTTGATTTTTTTTTTTTAATACCTATATCTATCTTGAATAAAAGTCAAGATATTCTTTATTGAAGGAGGTGGAGGTAGCCTGGGGTCAGAGCTAAATTAGTGACAAAGTGGCTGTCAAAGTTTGGTGACTTCCAAAGCTTGAGCATCCTTGGAAACTGCAAATTAACAATTTTTCTTTGTGTCTTTGATCAACGCTTTTAAGTAAAAATCTACTAAAAATCATTTTTAAAATGATCGATAGAACTGGTCGGCAGGCGAAAAAAATGTCAGTTTCTTCAATTTCCTTATTTTGACGAGCGCCTGATTTCACCATGATGCCACACATATTATGACTGTGGAGAAGACATTAGAAAAGATGGTTGTCCTAACTATGGGAACCGCCAAATTCAATCTTAGATTGGTTTTGAGAGAAAAAAACGAATAGGAGAAAAGCTTATTTTTAAAAAATAAACCCAACAAATCGGCAAACTGATTTAGTATCAGCCAAGACAATTGAATGACAGGAAGCAGACTAGAAAGATTAGTATATTTATTTCTCTTGCCCCCCTCCGAGAGTGCTGCTTGCTCTCTCTCTCTCTCACATTGTAAAGTGTAACAATAAACTGACTTGATTTCACAAGACCAACAGCAGCACGTGCTCAAAGCCCAGAAAGAAAAATTTTTCAGGAGAGAGAAAGATTCTTTTCATGAATGTACCTACATTGGGTACTTTTTCTTGCTTTTTTTTTTCAACATTTAGAATATGAATTTTGACAAAATATTTCGTGAGCACATGAAACCAATACCATTGATTTAGAAACTAAAATTTGTTTTATTTTTTATTTCAAAACTTTGAGTGAAGTAGACTACATCTAAACAGTTGGCCAATAAATTATGTATCCTTGAGGAAAAAATTATATAGAGACAAGAAACCACTGACTGTCTGATAATTCTGAGTTTTAAAAAGTATTTTCACAATGGCATTGAAATGGAAGGATATCACAAAGTCAAACATATGTCATCAGCTCTCTCGATATGTCAGCTGCATATATGAATAAATCCTTAATAACTTTTGTAAGTTACTAATAAGATCCCAGGAAAAGGGTATGTGAACCGGTTTTGAACTTCCCAATGTCTGCTTGACATGTTTTCAGCAGTCTGGTTCCACAGAAGGCGCCATCTGCATTCAAATGTGTCTATTACAGGATTGAGCCACTATCAAAAAGACATGAAAACTGCATGAAAAAGTTCTGTGGGTCCACGCAAACATCATCATTAAAAAAAATCTAAACCTCAACAAATACACTAACTGCACACAGTAGCTTTCCTAACACTAAGATTTAAAAAACCCATCAGTTTTAAAGTACTCAAACAGAAAAAACAAAACACTACATGCGGCTTGACTTTTCCAATATACAAACCGAGAACACTGCAAAGGGGGTCAAAAAGTAAGATAACAGACAGAAAATACAGAGGGACAGGGAAAAGTAAGAGCGACCAGTGGCTATACACAAATTGAGCTCACTATATGAGAAGCACAACATGATCCAAGAACTAACTCCCACTTCCAGAAAGTTGAGCTCAGCTGGTCGGATTTATACACTTAAGTCACATTCACCAGAACATAAAGGAAAGTAAGTCAAGGCACACATTGGGCCATAGTAAACACAAACCAATAACAAAAATGTAAAATTCCATCACCACACTAGTAAAATAACTGGCAGGTACTCGACCTATTATTATTCATCAGGACAGAGCATTCAGTAGACAATACACGTACATCCCTGGGAATGGGGTGGAGGAGAAACCTCAAAAATCACTCAGTGCCTCACAAATACATCGCATACCCACAAGATTGTTGGAGCATAAAAAGCAGCACCAAAACTTTCTAAAGCAACACAGAATGGTATCAACATGGCTAAGCAAGAACATGAGTATTGCATATTGCACATTTATACTGCCTTGCTGGTGACCTCCTGGACCACTCATGATCAAGACAACATTATGAACGAAGAGTTAATCTTGTGTAGAAAGACATATAACTACTTGTGGAATATACATTAGTACAGAAGATCCCCTGTTAACATACAGACTTCATTAATGAATTCACTCAGTACTTTAATCTCTAAATTTAAACTTTGAAAAGTACAATTTCACTTAGCAGCAATCATCCAAATGACAAAAACTTGACATTAAGCAACAACCGGCCACAGACCAATCTTCTACGAGAATGATCTTTAAAAACTTTCAAAGTTTACAATGGTAAACCGAAAACACAGTTTTAGATTTTTCTGCATTTTCCAAATTTATCTGATTTACAGGGTACAGACAAGAACTCTGGCACAGAGCAAGTGAATCACACGGTCCAACACCAATCACACGTACATATATGTGAATATGCTTACCCATCTGACCATCTGCAGTAAGGGCTCAGCTGATATAGCCTGTGCTCAACATGCAGCAAAAATGCTCTGCACAGGACTCAAATGATAAAATTCCTTCAGCGCTGAATGAGCTAAATATAATTCTCAGGCATTTGAAAAAAAGTCAGATTCATCTTTAGTCTTTTGTGAATAAGTCAAGGTAACTCTCTACATGGGATAATTTTCTGTTTTGAAACATTGCACATATATTATTATACTGAAAATGCACAAGATTCAAACCAAACTACAAAAAAACTCCTCATTTCACGTAATGGCTTTTTTAATGGAGCATATTTCTTAAAATGACTAGTATTGAATGTCATCATACATTCATAAAGAGAACATCTACTTTGTTATTACTCAGATCATGTACATCTAATTCAAAACTCTCATGAACACTGTAAACATGACAGACCAGAATCAATGGTTTAAAAATATACAGCCCCAACAAGCAAGATATAAGACAACAGACCTAAGAAGCATTTACCATATAATGAAATACAGCAGACAAGACTGCACAGTTAGCAGATGATTGACCATTGAAAGAGCTTTGATTAACACAATGACATGACCTCATAGCCTCAGGGAAAGTGCAATCCCGTGCAAGGAATTATAACATTTTTATGATGTCCATTGTTCACAATTGATGTTATGAGTAGTAGTTTCCTTTAATTTAATTCAAAACAGATTTCACCAAAAGCTGTATGTAATAGTACTAATACATGCCCATAGGAAAAAAATCTGTCATATAAAATCCAATATCTGTTTACTGTAGTTACCAAATCAAACATCATCTTGAATAGCAAACTTCAACTACTTTCATCGTAGGTTTAGAGAAAAATTCAAAGGAACAATTTATAAAACAAGGACAAACCATTAATTCGGTAGAAAAAAATCACTGGCTAAGTCATTATTTTTACATGATTCAGCACATAGAAAATGCAAGTATTTTTGACAGTAACACAGCAACAAGGATGAAAGACAATGTAACATTACTGACTGATTAATAATCAGTGATTACATACTCTTTTACCATGAGGATTACATAAGTATGCAGTATGGGAGTGCAGGGGAGGGGGGCAGGCCTGTAATTTCAACTTTGTTTTGGTTTTGTAAAAACTAGCATTTCAAATATAGTCAAGTGAGCGATCTATATATTTACTACAAATTGTTCTAAAAAATTCCACTTTTGTAATCTTCCTAAAGCATCACATGGAGGTAACTAAAGACACCTCTTAAATATGTATAAATGTTTACAAAGTCTCCGTGTAACTGAGTGTAGAACTGAAGGGTTTCACGAAATGTCTTTCCTGAGGCCATAACAAGGAGGAGTGCTTCATACAGGAGAAGTCTAGGCAACAAATGAATAAACGAGGAAAGAAAAATTTCATCAGCTCAATCTGTTTTACAATAGAAATCAGTCATTATGCAGGGTAAAAACAACTTCACGACTTATGCTTGATCAATATGTTTAACAAAATATAATATCATGAGGAAATTTTATTCAATACTATTGATGGTTAAATTTCCATCATAAAAGGCCGTATACGAAAAGAAGTGGCCAAAGCTACTTATCCTTTTCCTCATTATCTTGGCTTGGTAGAAACTGGCATTAAAATGACAACCTTCACTGGGAAATCACAACAAACTGTAGCAACAAAATCTGCCTCAGCCCAGAATCCTCATCTCAGAGCTAAAAGTTGACCACTAGAAGATTTCAAGACCATTCATGTTCTCTTCCACCCTTTCCATGAAATTATAATGAAATGCTTACTACCATATCCTTTTACTTCTTCTAACTTGATTTTTTCCAATGAAGGTAATACTGTCGTGTAGCAGGCCTGATATGAAAATTCTATATAAGAATTTGCATTATTTTCACCTAACAGCCTTCCATCCAAACACAGAACAAAGAAAGTCATAAGCTCTCTAAACATCTTTAGACCAACAAAATGTACATGAGACATTTTATGTTCATGCCATTTTTCTTCTCGGGGAGGTTGTTGTATACATCCCACTCATTTTTTAACAGATTTAATACTAACATCTAACAGATCAGTTTTTTTACTATTCTTAATTGTCACGCCTTTCAATAGCACTGCAAAAGAAAAAAAAGAGTGTACAAGAAATGCAATTAAATTATTTCCAAAGCAGCAGGGATTTGGAGGTAAGGTGGACGCCAAATATTCTGTGTTGTGACAAAAAGTTTTCAGGTATGCAAATAAGAGGAAAAAGACATGAAAACCAACAGTGTCCCCAAGGTGTACAGCCAAAATATATTTTGCCGACATTTCATTACTGGCGCAGTCAAGTTAACATTTCCGCTCACAGGACATCAGTATTAAGTAGTCCCATTCTCAAGGACTTTCAGTTGTTTCAAGACTGTGTCTATCAGCTTTTTCTTTTCTCTTTCGTTCTTTTTCAAAGACTGCAGCAAATTGTTCTTCTTCTTGTCAGCATTGTTCAATCTGGAGAGATAAAAAAGATTATTAGAGGAAAAACGGAACACAACCACACACATATGACAAACAGACAAAGCATGGGTCTCAACTCAGAATTTTTAAAAAGGAGGAACTTTCCGCGTGATCACGACAGAAGCCTATTTTCGCGAGACACCCACTATTATTTTACTGTTGGACCCTAGAATGTTGAAATAAAAACCATCAATTTATCAAAGCAAGGTTATTTCATACAAGTTTGAGGGTTTGGAAGATAATTTCAAGTAAGAGTCACTTACCAAATATTTAATCATCTTGATTACGTGCGGTCTTGTGTGACTTATTTGTATTTTCCCGTCATCATATTCACCTGCATATATTAACTATATAAAAATGAATCTTGTTTTGAGCCTCAGAAAAGGCCTAGAACCAGAATATCGACTGTCATGAACCAGTCTGGGTGTAACGATCCATATCATAATAAATGTGAAAGACAAAAATTAAAGCTCAAACTCAAAGTAGAGTAATAACTTGAATAGCTCAAGTAAACCTATTCAGTGTGAAAGGTGTAAGAACTGTGGGAGGGCAAGATGCAGTAACACTGAAAAATCTGCGAATCTTGAACAGAAAGCTAAAATATAGAGATATAATTTACTGTCACCATCCAATGAAACGCCAACACTTAGGCCCCTGCCTTAAGTTCAATAACACGCTTATCCGATTATACACAAGGCCCTCACCAACGCGCACTTTACTTTGCAGACAGCTGTAGAAGTAATCAAAATTCTAAATATTAAAAATTTGCTTCAACTTTCTTTTTTTTCTGTCCTCTGGCGATGCGTCCAGCCCTCCCCCCATCCCCGAGTGTATCTTTAAAAAAATCAATAATCTCCCCCCATTCCGGAGTCCTGTACTTCACAGCGCTCAGAACGCACACAGGTTCACTGGCTGGTCACAATGACGAGCCCAACAAGACGCTTGTATAACTTTCTTTTCTTTTTTTTTTTGCCCCATATGTACAGTGACAGCACAGTGACGAATATTATTTTCCTGGCGACACAACATTTGTAACGCAGAACCTGCATGTTACAAATGTTGCGTTACCAGACTTTTAAAGACAAATTTCTGAGATCTTGATTTTCCGGTTGAGCCTCGGTGTCACATACAATTCCGCTTGCTGCCATAGCCACCTGTTCACGTGAAACGTACTCTCAGACCGGGAAAAGCCGAATTAATATCACAATCGCGACCGGCAAAAATGAACATAAAGACGTTATTGGACTTGGTTTTTAAATAACATTCGAGATCTTTCATGTATTTTCCCGCCTCTGCGATTTTTTTCAAATTCCCGGGTAATTCCCGGGGCCTGGCAGTCACTCTGCTCCCAGCGACTTTCTTTCTGATTGGCCCGCTGTCACGGTAGCAGAGTTTAGCGGAGAAAATGGCGGTGCGGAAATCCTCTATCCGCTAAATAGTGAAATATTGAGACCCATGCAAAGACAGATTCTTAAACACAAAAGCTAAATGGTAAAAACTCACTCTGAGCTAGGATACAACTAAACCTTCGAAAAACAAAAAATAAAATTTGTAACAACACCTGACTAAAACCAATGTCATAACATGTTATAAGACTGGCAGGCAAAGATTTCAAGCCCTGTTGATTCATCTAAAAGTGCAGGATGCCAAGACTTTTTTTCCAAAACCACACCAGATATGCTTTTGGAAACTTGTGCTGCTGTTTCAACACAACATCTCAGATGTTACCTCACTCCACTCAAAATTCTTTTATGAAAACCAGTGAAGACACGTTGACTTTATTAAAAATAAAGTGAAGTTCAACCCAATTGTTTCCTTCTCAGCCCCCCCCCCCCCCCCCCCGGGAACTTTTTTCAAGCCAGTATTTCAGAATTCAGTAGAATGAGCCAACTTAGTGAATGTCGCTGAAGGCATCTTCCCAACACTGTACACTTTTCCAATACGGTAATGGCCAAAAACACTCTAGTGTTGGGAATTGATAAAGTAGGATAAGAGCTATAAAAAAGTGAAATACATGAGTCATACTTTGGTTTAGCTCCAGAACTTCACACACCACCAATATCCACATAATGACAAAATTTGTCATAGTTGGATCATAGGTAACTGCAAGTCAGCATGAAAATGGTGGTGAATACCAAAGGGGGGTTGGTGAGAAGTACAGATACAATGAAAAAATAAAGGAATACACTATGGTAGAGCCCCACACAAACATTAAGGAACAGACAGTATTACAAGGACTTGCCAATAATATAATACTCAAATGAACACTCACTTCTCCAACAAGCTGATCGCTGTGTGTCGAGGCACCCGCAGATACCGTGCCTGCTGCTTGCCAAAGTCTGCTAGGTACACCGACCAATCCCAGTTAATGAACAAGTCAAGAAGCTGAGGAAGAAAACAAAGAAAAGATTCACAGAAAACCATTTCATTTTCAAATCAATCCTTGCCACGTAGTAAGCCTGAACATGCCCAAGCCAGGATGTATTGCGAGTTGAGCAAGACGTGATATCCAAAGTTACTATGACAGGGAGCCGCTCAGCAGAGACCAGCAATAACATGACACTGCAAGAAATAGTTATAGAGTCACATGCGGAACACTTTGTAGCACAATTCAAAGGAAAACAAATCTCACCACAGGAATATAAGAAACGAACTCATCTATTTTCATAAATGGCTGTTTTTAATCACAAGATCAAGAAAAATCTTGACAACACATGAGGTAATTTCAATAAGGTGGCAGTTTCTGTCAGTGCCTCATTCACAGAAATGCTGCATTTTCCACATAAACTAATTATCACAAACTTTTTTCTATCATAACAAATTTTACCACTGACACAATTTTATAAAGCATTACACTTTCTCTCTTCTACATTACAAACTTTAACAAGCAATGAAAGACACTACTACAACCTATGACCAATATCATAATTCTTTCTTAATTTGATTTATACCAGATATAAAGAAAACAAAGAAGCCTTCAGAGGCTGACTGTGGAAGTACCTGTCTCAGGTCTGTAAAAGCCATCTGAAGCGTTCCATCATTTGAGTCCGGTACAGGCTCTGAAGCTGCAAATTCTGTGGGAAGTAGGAGATGGGCAAAAAAGTTTTTTTATTCTTTGAAATGTTTCAAGGCTTTCAAGTCCTTAAAGCATTCTTATGGCTGCATTACAGCAGTACAAACTAAAAAACGTCACTCTATATTGAAGAACAGTCACTGTTTATTTGGGTAAACATTTTAAAAAATTACTGAAACTAAAACTTTTGTTAACAACAAAAAGGATAGATATTCAATGACACTCACAAGACTTTTATCAAATATAAATTGCCTGAATTTAAACAAAATCAATGTTGACTGAAAAATGTACCTCTTGTCCAAAATGAATATATCATCTCTCAACTTATATTTAACAATCTCCATATATCTGAGGGACGTGAATAAAAAGTGCAACACCGCTGTCTAAATCAATACAGTTTTAGAAAACAAGGTGTAATGATATGGAACACTGCCATTCATTTCTGGTTTGAAAGTCTTAATCGTCGAATGAAATATTATTCTCGCTCTTCACTGGTAAAGAGTTAAGAAAGCGTATGCATGGGAAAATATAAAAGACCTCACTCACACTACTCATTCACTACTCACTCCTCGGCTCGGATCCTAACATGGTGTCAGAAATGAGCGAGTGGTCGAGGAAGACAGGAGAGCCGCATGATAGTGAGATATAACGTGGAGAAACGTCAAGGTGAGTGGAAGAAACATGACTTTTAAGCCACCTGCAAATTTCAACTTTCGGGAGCCGACAACATGGGCTTCGTGGCATCAATCTTTCCTTAGATTTAGGACTGCGTCTGAGTTGACGAAGAAGAGTGAAGGAGTCCAAGTTAGTAGCCTCATATATTCAATGGGCCCTGAGGCAGAAAAGATTCTGTCTACCTTTGGTCTCTCACAGGATGATAGCAATGTTTTAAACACAGTTCTGACCAAGTGCGATCGGTATTTCACCCCAAAACAAAATGGAATTCATGAGAGAACTCAGTTCCACAAATGTTGTCAGAAAAAAACAGAGATCGGGAGGAAAATGATGAGTTTCACACATTTAGACTTAGGACACATTGATATCTTTAGACACAATAATCAAATATTGACACTCTTATGTCCCAAGTAACTGTTGAATCCGTGTGAAATACTCTCCATTCTCAAACTTGACACCAAAGACAAGGAATAGAAATCATCAAGACGTGAGGGTCAAAGATGTTAAGGCATGCAAAAACACAAAATAACATACGAGTAGATATAGCAATGAAACTCACGTTCACACTGCATAACATCCAGGTTGAATTGCTGCAAGGCACCCATCGACAACTGCCTGATATCATTGTCCTGCAGCAGAGCCATCAGTCTCGACGCTATGTGTTGGCATGCTGACATGCAAGCAGTTTTGGCCACTTTCTCCTGAGAAATAACACAGCATTACGACATCATTAGAAAAATAATATATGCGAACTGACCCTGCAAAAAAAAAAGAAAAAATTTTTTTACATTAAATTACACCAGCAACTTCTAATTTCCACGGATATTGTTAACTATCTGATTTTTAAAAAATAATGAAAGCATAAAAAAAACTTACTGAAACAAAAGAACCTTTTACTTTGACAAAGAGATAGAAATATGAGGTCAGGTTTGCTGTGATGCCTTGTTCCCCTAATGTACCAGCTCATTGTCTCCTTTAATCAGCCAGTCAACCACAATTGGCTCAACCAAGAAATCTGACGTAGACATATCCACAGCTTTTGCGCTGTGATGTTGAACTAAAATGTAAGGAGACATGCTGACACAAAGAAGATTATAACTGTCTAAATTATTTTTTTTTAATATATATATGACATAAGTCTTAAAAAGAAAGGCATTCTCCCAATCATAAATAACCGGCATAAATAACTAGCAGTAAACTCTATTAGTAAGAGGAAACGTAAGTACGCTGAGCACAGTAAATGTCAGACAAATCAGCACAAACATTAAATCTGAAAAGCACTACTGGTATATTCAGGGGTGCATAACAGAGACATAACATTTTTGGGGTGTGATATTGATTTTTTAGGGTCCAAAAAGAAGAGCACACTTTCCTGCTCCTTGAAAGAGGTACAAACATTTTTTCGGCAAGTAAGCAATTAATAAGCTCCACAAGTTCTAACTATAACATTAGTGTATGGGGAAAAGAAAGGAGGGGGGGGGGGGGTGACGAAGACATCATCATGTATTTAACAAAATATTTACTTTATTAAAAAAATCAATTTCACGAAGGATTACTGTTCCTACCAAAAGGAGACATTAGAGACAAAGCATTGGTGGACCTTTGAAGGTAACATTTGATAAGTAACAGAAATATCAAAATGAAGAACAAAGCCACTGCAAGGTAACCGAAAGTTAAAGAAAAGTTGCACAAACCTGGCTTAGTCTTTACCAAACACTTCAAGAAATTAAAAAGTTGTGCTGAAATCTTTTGTGCACTTATGCACTAAGAGCAGTGGCAACCCCCCCCAACCCCTCAAAACCCTCCTAAAGTATATACTAAGTGCTTAAAAATACCCAAGCTATACATAAGTCAGGAATATAGACGGCCATTTCCTATACATATGGCAACACATTGCAGCATCAGTGTCTGTGGCTATTGAAAAAAACAGTCATATATTCTCTACAAGTGCGCACTTTGAGTAAAATGCTAAGATATAGAACATGCCTTTTCTAGGGAGACTACAAGACATTCTGTTTTTAGTTTTTCAAATGTAGGATAATGCATGCTTGATGAGAGTTAGCACTGCGGGCATGGTGGAAACGAGGCATGAGTGGTTTTGACACATTGTGTACGGGTTAATAAGTCAAGCAGTTCCAATGGGTCGGGGAAGGGGGGGAGGGATCACACAGAAAATACAACCAATTTCTGAAAGTTTACAGTTTTTGTTATCATCAGAAGACCATTAGATACCCAAAAAGACAACTGCAGAGTTATGTCTTGTGTGTTCATATAAATGTGTGTGTAAATGTGAGAAAAGCACATAACAGGGGAGTCGTACAAGAGAGTGATGAGATCTTGGGCAGAAAGAGTCTGCATCTATACCTGTACATTTGAGCAATTGTTGGACGTTACAAAGTTTAGAGATGTACGTCATTGTGTTCATAAACATGACTCAGACTTCCGGACAGGAAAGAATGTATTAAGTTGTATATGACTTGTATACTGTCCACATGAGGGTGCAAACAAACATAAGACCCAATAACCAACAGTTACATCCATAAGCTCTTTTATTTTTTCAAAATAAAGAAATATTTTTACTATATAAAAAAATGAATACAATCACTTCAAATACGCATGTACTTAACATAACACTCCAATATGGTAAAACAGTAGTCTCCGCCTATGAACCTAGAGCTTTGGAGAAAGAAAAAAGTACTTGCTCGAGGAACACGGTGAGAAGACTTTACTTTTAGTGGAGGTATTACGGCGCTCGCAACTGCATAAGGTCATATGAGCGCCAGAAGATTAGAGGTGTTACAAGAGAGTAACAAACATAAAAGAGAAGAAGGGGAGATAAGAATGATAGATGTCTGAAAGGAAAGAAGGAGCAAACCACACCAAAGCACCCGCCAACCACCCACACGATGAAAAGAGCCACATTTCTGCTTCACAAATGTCAAAATGGGAAAGCATCAAAGAATAGAATAGAATTTCAAAGGGAAGAAAACACAAATACAGCGAAAACACAAATACAGCAAAAACACATGAGCAAATACATCAACTACATCGGCAAAATTCAACACTGAATATCTCTTACGCATTGTGATATTTTCACTCAGCCACGTATGAAGCAAATGAGGAACCGAAAAGGACCTAATACATGTATTTGAAAAGAGAGTTCTCACTACTTGTCTCAGGTATTTTTAAAAAGCACAGACTATTATGTATTTTTGAAAAGCAGACTATTATGTATTTTTGAAAAGCACACACTATTATGTATTCTTGAAAAGCACAGACTATTACGTATTTTTCAAACACCCTTTTGCTTTGACACACATACTCAGTTGGAGTGGACATATATATATCAGCACTTAGCGAATCATGTAAAAATGAACACAAAGACACATATCTGTACATACACAATGATATACAAACACACAGAAATTACTTAAGTCACTCTAACTAAAGGAGATTAACAATAACTCAGTTGTTATCTTTAAGTGTCTGGAAATGAAAGATGATGAAAGGCAGAAATAATTGCTCGAAAAGACAGAAAAACAGAACAAAGGCACTCTCAAGCCTGCAAAAATAAAAAAAGAAACAATAATTTTTCAACGTAGCTTACATAGACTGGGCATGACAATTGCCACATTTCACTAGGAATAGATTCAGGCAAGGAACATGGAAAAGGAAAAGCAGGAGCAGACAATACAAGAGTCTCCCCTCCCCAATAAAAAAACAACGCAACAAACATAACTTCATCCTCTTGGTATGTATGTATATATCATACGCCTTGGCCTTACTTTAGTGGGACACAATTCTCACATGGTCAATGAATAGAAAAAGAACAAAAAACATAGATCAAGGCGCATCAGTAGCACGGGGAGACACAAAAATCACAAGCTCTCTAGGTCCAGCAAAAATAAAATAAGTCCAGGTACTATTCTTGAAACACAGATGACATTTTAACTGTTAAAGAGAGAAAAATCAGGATTACACAAACAAGCATTCTAATGAAAGTGGAAAAGGCAAGGAGGGGGGGGGGGGTCTCCGCACGTGGCTAAAATGGCTAAAACTTAGTTTTGCCCTATATTTAAGGTTCAATGCAAGGAAAAAAAAATAGCATTCCTTTAAAAACAGGCTTCATTCCTAAACTAAAAAAACAAACAAAAAGCATGACAATTCTTATACACAACTCATTCATGAAAGACATGCTTTCCGCTTACAACATATTTTGCCCAAGATGTATGGAAAACCTGTGAGTGAGAAAACAGTGACTACCTGTAGCTCTATGGCCCAAACAATACCTAACCCGGCCTACCTTTATCATGCAACAATAGAAAAGGGACAAAATGTTCTGCCCAGACTATCAAATAATCAATTCTAAGTAGGACATAAGAATAAAGATGAATCAAGACACAATAAGCTACAAACCAAAAAAACTTTTAAAAAATCATGAGCCTAATATAATATAATATTTAGAGCCTTATATTATATCATATATGTACTGACAGACATTTTTACCTAACAGTTCATTGCACTTGACCATAGGAAGAACCCAACCCAGTGTTTGGGATTTTACCTATAAGGAACAAACTCTTTAATTTGAAACACACCTGAACACACTTAGTATTGGTTACAGCGTAGTAAGTACCCCCCCAAAAAAAGAACGCTACACACCTTGGGCAGTAAAAACTGCTTACATGTTATTAGATACAAGAACCTGCAATCTTTCTTTATAATATACTCCATCCCGTCTCAACCCCAAATATATATATTACATATATATATAAATCATAAAAAGCATTGTCGGGTCATCTTAAAGGCAGTAGGAGGAAGAAAATATGGACAAAAGTAGGAGAGATTTTCTTAAAAAATGGGACAGAAAAAGGGAAAAGGGGTAATCCTCGACTCACAACTTACTTTTCGTGTCTGAATGCTCTGCCAAAAGATATTAATTCTATTGATGGTAAAGTCAATCTAAAAAGTCCTTAGTGAAGTGGTATTTTCAATTGCTTTACACATCACAATGACTGCAGAGACTTAAAATTTTTTTACAGGTTCAGCTGAGAAACAAGAGACACAAACAACTCTTTACTCTCACAATTAAAAAATTCATCCCAGTTGTATTTAGCAATAATGAATATTCATAAACATCCCCTGTCCCTGTTTCTCTCTCACCCTCCATCCTTTTTTGTTGTTTGTCCTTTCTTCTTCCGACCCACAAACTTTCTCATCCTCTAAGAAACATTAAAAAACTTCATACCACAATGTGTGTGTGTGTGTGTGTGTGTGTGTGCGTGTGTGTGTGTGTGTGTGTGTGTGTGTGTGTGTGTGCATGTGTGTGTGTGTGAGTGTGTGCATGTGTGTACCTGGTGAAGGTACCCGGGGATGTATTTTGAGGAATGTTTTATTGTAATTTTTGGTACAAAATAATTTCTGAGTAACTTGCCTTAAAAAATGTTAAGATAGCTTTAGTACTTTGTGAGATCTGTTTATTATTGTTAGAAAGGAAGCAGAAAAAAAGTATTGAGGAAAGTAGCTTTAAAGTTTCCCTTTTAGAACTGGATTGAGTTCTTCAAAGGAATATTGATCGATCAGCCAGCTGTAACGTTTGCCTCCAAAACCTTTGACAACTATTACAACTCAAAGTGCAACTTATAAAAGCATTTAAGATAATTAAACAATTTCAAAGTGTCACAAAAACATTTTCAAAGTAAATTCATTGCCAAATAAAACCAGAAATTTCACAACGTGACTCCTTTGCTCATGAAGTGTGGTATGGCATGTTTGTGTGCAGCCACCCATCCTTTACTGTGTCAGTGTATTCATGTACATTGCACACCATGAGAAAGGTGGAATGCAGTGTAACGGGGTTTGTTTTCATGAATGAGTCGTAGAAACCTTCCGAAATATAGACTCTGACAGCAAATATTCTCAAGCAATTTTCGTCATTATTAAAGATGACTCGTGCAAAAAAATCTTCAATAATACATTTCTAAGGTAAAATAAACACAGTACATAAATGGCTAAAAAATAATCCCAACTCAATTTTTTTTTTTTTAATAGATTTTTGATAATCACTGCCCTGTACCTTCGTTCAAGCAAATGCATCTTGAGGTACCTTTCTCCCAGCAAGCACACATAATTATGAACCTAAACCCTTGTAAATAATAATATATGTAAAAAAACAATCCACCACTGACACTTTGAACTAGACATTTGTAACAATTGTGTTAAAACTTGATTCGTCACATTTAAAAAACGACAACTGACTTAATTCTCTTCGAATTCATACAACCTTTTATAAGGCAGACTTACGTTGTGCAGAAATATTTTGGAAGGGGAAACCTCGCACGAAATATTCATATTTTAAACAGCACTGTTTCAGTATGGGGGTCTTTTTGTACACCCTATACTTGAAGTATGGGCTTAATCATTTTGATGGAATTGAACTTTCTCAAAAGATATAAGGCCTCTCGTTTGCTTTTTTTCAATAATCTGTTAATGTAACAATTCTCAGAAATAGTAACCATTCTTTAAGCCATAAAAACTTGTTTGAGCCTGTTGCTTCAATCTTTTCACATGAGGTACAACAAAAGGTAGAACTGCTGGTTTGGCCCTTGTAAAGAAAAAAAATCAAGGAATGAGAAACACTTAGGAGACAGCTAATAAAACCAAAAAATGCATAAAACAACAGAATATATCCTTATAGTTCGTGGTAGCATTTCTCAAATCCATTAGATTATAGATAAAAAGTAAATAAAACAAGAAAGGTTGAATACAATAAATATGAGGGGACTAATGAACACCACACACCGAGACTACAGAGACAAAAGTATGCAAACTGATCAGAGAGTATAAGAATGAACAGAAGAGAGAAGTGAAAGTGTGTATTGAGAACTCACAGGCAAGTTGGTGAAAGACATAAATGTACTCTGCAGGAATGCCACCAGGTCCATGAGGTAACTACTGGCCTGGCCCCGGGACTCCTGAACGGTCCAGTCATACGAGGCTGAAAAAAAAAGTAATCACATGGTGCAATTCTTTCTTAATGATTAAGCATAGCAATTACAAGACTTAACTTAATGTGCTTACAGTTTACAAATGCATTTGTTCCTCTTCTGCACAGTACATAGAGAATTTATTATTATTTTTTAAGTTTCTAAAAGCTACATGTCAGGCATCGTGATGAAATCAGGCGCTCCTCAAAATAATGAAATCAAAGAAACCGTCATTTTTCCGCCCGTTGGGCAATTTTTATAGAATTTTCTGTTATAGGCTCAAAACGCTTCATGTACATTCAAAAATACATTTTTTGCATGGATGTTACTGAAAAACATTGATCATAGGCACAAAACGTAAAATTGCAGTTTCCAAGGATACTGCAGCTTTGGATGTCATCAAACTTTGGCAGCCATTTTGGTTGACTAGAATACTCTTAAGATAAAAACAATGCATAGTACATGTACAAAAAATATTTTTTTCATTACTTATCTTTCTCCTGCTACTCCTATCTCTATCAAAAACACATGTACATTCACATTCATGCAAACAAAAGCATGCCCCTGTTTATCTTACACTGCATCTGATGATTTTTAATCTCTTCACTTTCCCTAAAGCACTGACTCCTCAGCCATATTAACTTCTCAGCAATTATCTGGTCAACTTACAGATGCTGAAAATAAAATCTAGGTGTCGCATTGCTTGTGGGAGGTGCAAATTTAGAATTTAAAAAAATATATATATATTTTTGATAGCAATAAAATGATCATGTACATGACCACAGATCCATCCAAGCAAGTGGTCTTTAAACAAACTAGTAAGTATTATCCCAAACTTCTTAATGCTACTGGTGTGTGAAATTCAAAACTTAAACCATTATCTAACCTTTTTGATAGAAATTTCCAGGATAAGTCTTCATTTACTTTTTTATGATAACTTACAACCCAAAAACCCACACATCTACTTTTGTCTACGCCAAGTAAAAAAATATCCGAAACCGTAAATGGTTCATGCCCCTTTCAACATTATAAAATTATAAAAGAGGCATGACCTCCAAATCTGAACATCCATCTCCAATCGGACAGAGCCTAATGGGAGAAGAGTCTAAAACAAAACTTCCAAAAACGCCCCAAATTCAAAAACATCACATTGGGCATTCAAACCAGGGCCATCTGCTCCATAGTTCAACATTATACCAACTGAACTATTGGCCTACCCTTGAACGGTTAACAAAATCCCAGCTAAAAAGACACATAACACTAGAAAGAACCTTAGTAGCCTTAGAAGAATGCTAACACTTTTATGGCACAACATGCAACATATAATCAAAATACGCTTTCATATGTACACATCTACGTACCCAAATCTAAAAACTCATCAATCTTCAGATTTAACTGTTCATATATGTGCTGCTCTGCATCACTTCGGGCATCCTGGTGATTGCATACACAGGGAGAAAGAAATAAATCATTCAGCAAACAATGAATTTATCAGCACTAATAGATACACAATCTCTTGACTGTCACTCTCCAGGGTACTCATTAATTCTATGCAACGGCATATCTGTAGTCAGAAAACACAAGTAGTAGTACTTAATCAAAATAAAAGTATGAAAAAGAGGGGAATACAAGCCAGCGCACAGAGCTTAGAATGAGCATCAATATTGGGAAATGGTGCTTACATCAAAAGAATAACAAATACCAGTAAATTCATTTCAAGAGGGGAAGGATCTGCTTTCTTAAAGCCAAAAAAGTAAATAAAATGGTTATTACCCTTTTCAAGTAACTATCTGGAAAAAAGAAACCTTGAACCACAGCACTTTTAGAATCATATTCAAGCAATTGATAGGTACCGCACACATTCATACATAACAGAAAATAAATCCAATTACTACCAGTACCAAAAACTTTACCTTGAACATTGATGACCCATGCAACCTGGCTATATGGACACTGTCTTTTTCAGCACTGAAAAACAGTATGGAAACAAAAACCACTATAGACAATTCATACAAAAAGAGCAAACCTGGATCAACAATGACAGCCCATTCATGTTAGAGCTTTCTCATTAAATCTCACCGAAAATTTTTGCGCATTATTTTCAAGTGATAAACACTGATTTCTGTGACGAAAAGACAGGGGGTCTTACAGCAATTGATACTCATGAATTGTTTTTCTTCAGACAATGAAAATAGAACATTTAAGTAAGTCACCGCCTTTATATTCTCCCACTACAGAGTACTAATCTCGTCACAACAGAATCACACATAAAACTGAGACAACAGACTTACCCTGTGATACTGGAGATGTACTCCTCTAAATACTCGCAGGACTTTTCCAGATAGTTCATGTTAATGGATATTTGAATCAACTGGGGATGATACAAGAGTACATACAGGTCATTATAAGAGCGCACCACAAAAAAGGTAACAATTTACACGGTCTACTTTCAAAATGAAAATACCTTCGTCATTTGACAGTTGTGTCACCATGGGAAGAGCTAAATCATTACCTTTCTTTTAATTGCAAAACACTAAGTAAAAGTTGAAAGTGATTTAAAACATTCAGCTTCTTTGAAAATCGACCAGCAGTACTTTACTGCATAATATAAACCAAATACAGTCATCAATGCATAGACTCTTGTTTTAATAAGAGTTTTACGGCACTTGCAACACAATAAGGTCATATAAGTGCCGAAGAATAGAGGCGTTACAGAGAGATAGGGACGACATATGTTTGATAGGAAAGAAGGACCAAACCATACCAGAGCACCCGTCAATCACCCATACATAGACTCTAGACCACCTGGACATAAGCTGACACATATAAAACTGTGACAAATTTAATGAATGATCTGTATCAAAGTATGACAGAAAATGGATTTAACATATGAAAGGGTACAATACCTATTACAGAAGATCAACAACACATCTTTCAAGAAGACAATCAGAACATACCTGTAACAAACTCAAGTTTGGCTTCTTGATCAGGGAGGACAGACAGCCGCCAAGAGTCTTTGTCAGCAACTGGTTGGCTGACTTTCTTATCATATCATCAATTTCAGTGTGGCTGAAGGAAAGCAAAAAGAATATATTACTTAATATACAAAATAAAAACAAACTGTATGAACACAAGCAAAACTCCACAGCAAAACAGAATACATTTTCCCCACATTTAAAATGTTCCACATTTCTTTAACATTTTTCACTTTATTTGGGGGCAATTGGATCTTTCTGACAAGTGTTATGACACTTAAGAGCACATGCATTTTGAATTTTGCATGGTTGGCGGTCTAACGGCCAAACGGCACTAAGTGTGAAAATACAGCAAAAAAATCCAGACCAAATACATACTTACAACACCACACAGGTGTTATCTATTACCTCAAATGCAAGTCAGCAGAAAATTTGAGGCAGGCATTGATGTACTCCTTGACCTGAACATATATACTGGGCACAAACTGGGAGAACGGAAACTGCCTGGGGTAGTCAGACTGAGGAGAGTACAGAGCAACATTTGAACAACAAGCACTTTGAGGAAAGAGAAATAAATCTGGTAAAGTTTATCGCATTGCCTAACCATTACCATTTTCAACCTTAAGCCATTTCAACTAATCTATAAATATTTTAACAGGCAGGGTTTTCCAGCTCTACTTTTTGTCTGGAGTATTGGGAAGAGTACTTTACAACATCCAATTATAACTTAATTTAAGCATATTACTGATAAAGTGCCCAAATACAGCTAAAGCACAGAATGCTCTTATTTCATTTCAATGCTCCTACATATACTTCAATCACACATCTTGTATAAACATATCATACCCATTATGCATTTTTTTAAAATCATGCAGTAGTAACTAAAAAGCTATTCTAAAAGTAATAAACACAGAAAACTGCTTCACATACATCAATGTCGTGGTTACCTGTTCCAAGTCCTTATCTCTGTATGGAAATTGACTAGTGATGATGGTGTAGTCATCAGGAGAATCACAGAATATTGGTGTGTAGTTATCTTCAGCAAAAATATCATTGAATACCTCTACCCACTGCTCTGAAAGGATCTCACTGTATCTATCTCTGCAAAGAAGAACAGGAACAATCTCATGTTCAATTACAACAACAAAATATTCACACATGTACAAAGTAATTGCTATACTTGCATTTTATGAACACTATAACTTCTGTAAAATACAAAAAAACACAGGACAGTGGGAAGAGATTTAAGACAATAAAAACAATCTCATAATACTGGCCATTTGTTTCCCAAACATTTTCACTGACATTGAACCACTAGAGCATACAAATTTCTCATGGCTATATAATGTGAAGATTATAACACAATTTTGTACCTCATTTCCAAGAGAAGCTCCAATAACCTGCCAACACTGAAACCGTAGCCCTGTGAACATAAACAATTGAAATGTTAGAGACGCTGACATCTACAACTCATCAAAACAAAAGTTAAAAGTTAGTCCTTGTTTCCATTTTTAACAGGCTAAAAGAAAGACATGATGATAGGAACATGTTAAGAAAAAGAAGTAGGATATGAAAGTCAGCCACCCCCTCACCCCCACCCCTTGTTTACCAACTGTTATACCTGAAAGGCATGGTGATGTATATGTTGGACAAAAAAGTGTAGCAGCCTATGAATGTACAAAAACCAAATTCATCCATTCTAGTTCATCCCTCCGGGACAAAGTCATTCCGCTAGGGAATGGAAAGGAAGGGAGCCTGCCTTGTGACAAACTGAATGAAAAGGACAAGAAAGGAAAATACCAAACCTTTGTGTGATATAGCCACTTACCAAGAGTTCCTTTTCCATTAAACTCATCGTACTTCCAAACAAGAATAAGGAGAGATGATGCTGTTATCAATCCAGCAATAATGAGGCTTAATATTGCATATTGTACAAAAGATTAAAACAATTTCACCTAGATAGCTCTTTTGTCTAGACAAGTATCATAAGTTAGAGGAACATAAGTAATGACATCAAGATGTGTGCTCACCTTCAGAGTGTGACAGAAGAGGACAATGAGTTTCTTCACCTCCAGCATTAGACTTGCTACTTTACAGGATTGCTGGAAAAGGACAAATGATTTATTATTTTTTTCTTTTCACAGAATTTGTAAACATGATAAAAAAAATGACAGAGATATCAAGATCTGAAAAGCGCACAAGATGACAGACAATAATGCCACATCAAGGGGTAAAAACGAGAAAACAACAGTTTTGCAATCCAAACACCAGGAATAAATACAGCATCTTGAACAAATGAACAAGGAAATAGGAAGCAAATCAAATGGTTACAACAACTTATTCACTTTATTTTTATTTTATTGAACTTTTATGTATTTACATCTTCTTCTATGTACTTGCTTGCCACGCACAAGCAGGGAGCCGCAAGTTGTAAAAAAAAAAATCGGACTGAAAGTGATTTCCCATTATAATTTTGAACAAGAATTTTATAGCTGTCTAAACACTTTCCATGTAACTTTAACGTAACGGTTAGGTATAAGGAGAAAGTAGCAAAATCTGAGGTACATACCACCCAGCTCTGAAAAATGTCTACAGGTGATAATGCCTTGTAAAGTCTATACAACTAAAGAAGAGGTGGCATTTGACCACATGAATATCTTTTTTATATCTATCAATACCAACTTGAGGACCACAGACACACTCATGTCATTTCTTAATACTCACAAACAGACGCTAAAAACAATGCAGAGTGATATCTTAACATTATTTATGTTTCTAAAAAACAATATGAGGGTTCAGATTTACTGGGATATCTTATAACTCTTTTCTTATTTGGTGTTCATTAACAGGAGAACATTAAAAATAAACAATTACAACAACAGCTTAAAGTTAAGATGGATAGAACCAATTTGATAGGAAAAGGAACATGCTACCTTGCTCTGAAAAGTTTAGTTGTACAGGACCGTATAGTTCGCAGTTCCAGTCTTCAGAACCAAAGATATGTATGGCCAGGTTTAACTTTGTGTTACAGCTTAAAACTGTCAATTTATATCCTAAACACAAATCACTTCAATATTATTTATTCTTTCACGAATAACAATTCTCTTCTTTGTTCATTTTAAGTAAGAGTTTTAAGCCACTTGCAACACAATAATGTGAGAGTAAAATCAAAAACATATTTACCTCAACTAACAATTGGTCACTTTTAAGAACAAGCAGGCTTTCCAGAAAACTTGACCTACACCAAAAGTGGGCATTGCCCTACCTAGGAGAAGTTTGGTTTCATTGGTATGTATATTTGTTTGGTTATAGAGAAAACTCTCCTTGTATTTTAAAGAAACTGAATAATGGGTTCAAGAACTTTACCTTTGATTTTCTCAAAACAGCATTTTTCGGGATAGCCCCTTGTGCTTAAAAGCGACCAATTGGACAGATACAATCATTAAGGACATACTGTCCATTCCAGACTTTGACCTCAGCCACCACACACTTCATAAAACTGCTTTACGCTAATTAATCCATGAAAATTGAGTTTACTCATGCCAAATATGTCATCTCAAAATCATATGTCGATTGTATATTAAAAAAGGTAAGAAAATTGAAAACATTAAAAAAGCAGTAAATACACATGACCAGCAGATTCAAGCATGCTAAATTCAAATCATGAGCTCAGAGTCTATAGCATAGTTGCCCACCCCTCTCTGTGGCTATCAGGGACAGCCTGGCTCAAAATCAGAGACATTGACTATACTAATTATCCTTAATCTTACGCAGTCGTTATACCTTAATTTTCAGGTATGCGTATCAGCTGACTTTGTCGAAACAGCACACCTGCCAACTCTCCCGAATTTTCGTCGTTTTACAGAAATCTTGTTCAATTTCCCGAAAGTCACACACAACAATAAATAATATGTCAATATCGTCAGAATGCAAAATTGCAGGCCCTAGCCCTGAACCCTTGCGCTATAATAGTGTAAATAGGTGAGTAAACCCTATGAGAGTTAGAGGAAGATATCTTAATATTATTATTATTATTATATTACTGACCCGTGACGTGATATAACTGTCTTCCAACTCACGGGCCACTCTTAATTTCCCCTTGAGTCGATCTCTCTTCAAAATTCCCTATTTTTTATTTTCGAAAGTTGGCAGGTCTGAAACTGTTTGCAACTGTCGTCTTAGTCTACTGCTAGCCTCGAGGAAAGCTGTCCTGTCGCTCCGTAAAGTTAACAAAGTCCGTAAACTGTTGTAAATCTAGACTTAGCTAGATCTAGATAGCCTATCTTGGCTAGTTTGTGTGAAAGCGGGTGCGACAAAACTAGATTGTGCTGGTCCCCTCTCGCTTTCTCATTTGGCCTAGGCCAAGTGATGTGTGTGGTGAAGGCATCGCGCGATGGTAAAGGTGAGGTGAAGGTGCGTGTGTGTGTAGGTGTGGGCCTAGCCATCGTGTGCGTGTAGGCCTACAGTGTGGTGGCCTTGGCCTAGGAGGCCTAATGTGTGCTGTCACCGGTCACTGTCAGTCGTCAGTCATCATTGCAAAGGAATCTGGTTCCCCTCTTCGATAAGCCTAATTTTTCTGTTTTAGAAGTATGCTTGCCAAGTTTTTATTTTCCGGGACCATCGGTCAAAATCCGTATTTCCGGGACAACAGCGATTTTTCAAGAAAATCTGTACAAAATTCGGATGGCCCGGGACAGTGGGCAACTATGCTATAGGAATGAGATATGCATTGCATTTTTATAATATTGTTTTGACTGAGCTCTATTCTGTCAGAGTATTTCTATGTGCAGAAAGTCTGCATGCTATCTGTATGGTACAGAGCATGATGCAAGACACATAAATGTTAAATCTAACTATCATTCATTACAACAAAGAACAGGGTTCGGGAGGAAAGCAGTAAGGCGAAAAAGGGGGGGGGGGAGGATGAGGGGGGGAGGAGGAGGGGGGGGAGAAGAGAGCGGGGGGGAGAGAGACTGTAATTAAACATTTTGAAATACACAATTTCAGAAAGGCAAGAGAAAAGCAAAAAGACTACAGAGGTAAGCAGATACAACATCACTAGCATGTTGACCTATATGATTCTGCATTCACAAAGCAAAGGACAGAGAAGAACAAAGAACATAGCACATGCCCCCCCCCCCCCCCCCCCCCCCCATTAGATGAGCTAATTGAAAAATTGACACTATCTGCTAGACAAAAAATGAAAAAATGTATCTTCCAATCTATTTTTTTTTAAAGCCAGTTACAGTTACAGAAATACAACTTTAAAAGCAGGAACCCCATAACTTCATGACTGTTAAAAAGGAGTTTCAAAATTTTGAGTCAGAAGGAAAAACGAGCAGAATACCAAGATATCTGTGCTCCTTTGCTCTAGTTCTTCAAAAGAACTTTGTAATTATTCAACTTGAAAACTTGCACTAATGTGTTAACTTTTTTAAAAGATTTTTGGAAAACAATATGACAGTCATAATTTCATACACAGTCATGCATGTTCGAACAGAATAGAAAGTAGTTTTTTGTGTGCAACAACAGTCACTATAAACTGCAACAAATTATCATCTCAATGAATTTTAAAAATGTTAAAGGAACCAGTAATGGGCAGGAGATGTGTACCATGTTAAGTAACAATGTGCTCAAACAGACAAGTACCACCCACTATATAATGTCAGTCTTCAAGTATAGTTTACATACATATCAGTTAAATAGAATACATCATTCAAAAATTCCTGTGTCAAAATCGCAGTTACAAATAAGTTCCATTGACATATGCCAAAGATGAAACTTTCATTATTGACTAAAATCAGATGCTTATGAAACAACACAAACAAAGATACATGCCTAATCTTTGTAAAGACATGTAAAAACATAGGATATCTAAGCTCTGATTCCTGATCTCGTTAGTCCTATATTGTATAGAAATCACTAAGACAATGGACAGCAGCATGATGCTTGCTTATTTCCAAGACTTGACAATGACTAAAGTTGAGTTTGGAAGGTGAGGTCAAGTGCATATTTCAGACGATACAATACCCTACTACAAACATACAAAGAGGAGTCCTGAGTAGACATAGAGGTCAACCAATATTTAACTAAGTCAGCTGCCAAGTAAAAAGAAGTCATCTTTACTTCAGCATGAAATTTAAAAAATATCCCCACAAACTAATCTGAATTTTTTACAAAAGGATCCAAATATTACAGGAAGAAAAAAAGGGGAGGGGTAGGGGTGGGGGGGAACTGGTAAATTAAAAAGCCATATTCTCTTCCTCTGTGGCTAATGCCTGTCATGAGATTCCTGAAAGTCAAGTTCATGGCTGAGACCAGCAGCCTTGAATGTCTATATTTAGTCTCTTGCATTTCAGTTTGAAGGGCGGTGTAAAATACATGGTGTTCAGCCATGAGGACGGGCAAATGTAAGACAAGTGTTCAGTGCTTGAGGGGCAGACACAAAGTTGGGAGATTGAAAAGTAGGAGCAACTCTCTGAGACCTCATCCTCATCATCTTCTTCATCCTCCTCATCTTCTGGAGACTGACTATCATTGGGAACAGTTTGATTTCCCAGAGAATCTACCTTCAGATGAAAATGGTCAAACTGTTTCTCCTGCTCAGAGGAAGAAAACAAACACAAAATATTTCAAACCCCATTACTGCAGTGCAGAAGAAAAATGAAAGATTTTTTAAAAAGGAAATAAACACTGATGCTAAGCGCAGCAATCCAAGACAAGAAAAGAGTTAATCAAACCAGTAGAGAGAAGACGAAAGTATATTAGTAGAGGAACAATACACAAGCTGCTGGCTGTAGCCCCCAATCCACAACATGAATGAGTACAGAAAAGTTTCCCTTTTAAAAAAAAAAAAAAAGGAAAGATAAAGTTACATGTAACTGACAAACATAAACTCTTCAAAGCCGATTAGCCAAAATCTAATTCATGGACTGCAGCTACACGATGGAACTACAAACACCACTTTGTTAGAAACCTATAAATAGAGCGCAACAATACTCCACATTCAGAACTTCTGTCATACCTGTGGGTACTGTGGGTTGGTCAACTTAATTTTCTCATGTAAAAATATATATTAGCCAAAAAAACATTTAGCCGATAGTTTTCCGTAATGACTTAGTATCTTTTCACGGTTTAGAAGATTAAAAATCACTATAACAATGTAGCAACTACTTATCTATGGTATCAAAATTCTTCATTAAAATCTTGTGGTTTAAGAATACTTATTTCTGCACTCTCAAACAGTGGCAACATTTTTCATCAAAGAAACAATGCTGTTCATAAGAGAAAGCAGATTATAGAAAGGTGCTATTAAACACTGAACTAATTTTCTGCTCGGTATCAGATTTTCTCCAATTGTTTGTACAGTAATTTTCAACAAGAAACTTCAGAAGAAATCCAAAATGAGCCTTTATAACAAGAATACAAATTTGACCCCAATACCTCCAGACCCCTGCATGGGTCAGAAGCCAGTCTAGCCTGTGAAGGGTTAATGGAAACACAAAGCTGAACAAGACATTTAACTTGAACATTAGCCTTTGGTACTACACAGAGAAAAGGCATGAAAAAGAAACAATTAAAGCACAGGAAATAATGAGTCATCTACAAGCCAAGATCTACATCTTAATAACTGTACACATGTGATCAAAATGAAAATCAAAGAAAAAAAAGAATACAACATACGCAACTCAAACACATCTGAACATAACTTGTGAAGAATCAAAATGTAAGCTGACAGTGTTTCAATTTGACAATAATTAAATAGATAAAGTATCAAGTAGTATTCTAGTCTTAACATCAAAAGAACTTAAGAAATTAAATTTGGTACTTGGCATGCAGAAAAACTGAAAATGTCTTCAAAAAGTGATCGAATCTTAACTCAATTCACATCAAAACTTATGAAACAAATATAGCAAACTGCAAAAGCCAAGAATAAGTCTATTCAGATAACATGCTTAAATATCAAATCTTTTTTTTTAAAAGGCAGCATTAAACCACACCCATATGACTTCCCCATTCATAAGAACCAAACAAAATCTAGCTTTGTTACAGCACAGCAAACTGTCATAATATCTAGCATTTAAGATCCAAGAAAGTTTTACTTACCGAAGTGGAGCGGAGAGTGGCGCTAATCTTTTCCACAGCTTTCTCCCACAACTCATCCATGTGAGAGCGAGTGACCAAACCCTGAGTGGTGTGCAGAATGTGGTCTTCCACAACAAAGAACCTGTGAGTAAACAGCTTAAATAAGCAGAGACCACATACACATATACATATTGATATTAGTTTAAGTAAAAGTTTATGGCACTCGCAACACAAGGAAAGATAAGGACGATAGATGTTTGATAGGAAAAAAAGGAGCAAACCACACCAGAGCCTCCATCAACCTCACACCAACTAGATACAGCAGATGATATGCAAATAAAATGCATTTTGACATATTGCATTGATGACACAGGTATATAGTCTGCACACACATCAATGGTGCAGAAGTCATGAAGCTAGTTATAACATGAAATCTATGTTAATCCCTGTTCCGCATGTGGAACTGAACTCTCAAGGGTTTTCAAGAATCTGCCTTAAGGTATCCAACCTTACAATAAATGACTTCTGGGAATTTTTAAAAAAGTCTCGTTCTTTTGGAAATGAAAGTGTTTGTCCTATGCTACAATTCAAAAAGTAAAAACGGCTAAATTTTATATAAAACATTTGAATACTAGCGAGTACACATCAATATCTGCTTCCAACATAGACCTTGTGCTCCTTCCCTCCCTCTCGTCTATCACAAATATAAGTATATTATTTTATACTTTTCAAAGCAAAGTGTGTCGTCCCATTTTCTCAAAACAATTGAAAAGGTTAGTTTTAACCAAAGGAAAATGTCATTTCGAAAAACCTTTTTAAAAATAGGGACATCTAAATCCCCTCCCATATTCTATACAATGTACAAAATAAACGGAAACCCAAGGTGAAAAAAGAATTGCAGGTTATTTTATCTCCCTGTTCCAGTCCCATAATTGGGTAAATTCCTGCTAGTGCGCATTCGCAAGAAATCAATTTTGTGGTACTTACCCTCCCAACAGAACTAACCCTCTTATACACACTATAAACAATAATTAGGAAGCACGACATTAACTACCACATGTACGCGGACGACACTCAGCTGTACAAGTCTGTTTAACCAAAAAATTTCAATTGTCTAGTTACTAGCATGGAATAATGTATCGTGGAAGTAAAAAAACTGGATGATATCAAACGGACTTTTAAATGAATGATGATAAGACCAGAGTTTTGTTTTGCAATGCCAAACCAGGGATATTGCTTTGCAATTTTGACCACATATGTATTGGGAATGGTAACCTCTTTTTCACAGATAAAGCGAAAAATCTAGGCGTTTATTTTGACTGCAAACTCTCTATGCACCATCATATAAACCATCTATGTACAGTAATTTATTTAGAACTACGCAGAATAGGACAAATGTCAACATATCTTAGTGTTTATTCAATCAATACCCTCATCTCTTCTTTTGTCCTTTCACGTCTAGACTACTGCAATTCTTTGTTTGGAAACCTTCCCACGGAAAGCATGAATTCAGTACAAAATAATTGTTCTTTGTTTTAAGTGCGTCAACAACATTGCACTATCATTTCTTTGTGACATGGTCATCGAATATATACCATCTCTGCCTTTAAGACCGGCAACAAAAAGACTTTTAAGACCTGTCCAACGCAAAAGTCACAGACTCAGAGGGAGAGCTTTTTCCCACCACACCCTCTCCCAGTGGAACGTTTTACCAGCTCATCTTAAGGAGTCAACAACTTTATCAAAATTCAAATCAGCACTTAAAACACATTTGTTTCAGTCAACCTTCAATCTGTAATTTCCGACATTCCCAATACAAATATTATTATGTTCCCTCAGTATCTATTATCATTTATTCATGCTGTTCTGTTCTGTAAGACATTTATGACTGTGTAATTCATCAATGTGTGCGAGGGTGTATGGGTAAGCTTTGTGGGATTGTCTTTACTCAAGGATGTACTGGAGAGAGAGAGAGAGAGAGAGAGAGAGAGAGAGAGAGAGGGGAGGGAGGGAGGGAGGGGGAGAGGGAGAGAGAGAGAGAGAGAGAGATAGAGAGAGAGAGAGAGAGAGAGAGAGAGAGAGAGAGAGAGAGAGAGAGAGAGAGAGAGAGAGAGAGAGAGAGAAAGAGAGAGAGAGAGAGAGAGAGAGAGAGGATTACTATAGGAGCTGTGCGCTGCATATAGTCTTTGTATTATTGTACAGCGTGTTGAGCACTTCTTTGTGGAAATGCGCTATATAAATGCAATTTATTATTATTATTATTATTATAACCCCTTTTATATAATTAAATAGTAAACAAAAGCAACACGGATGTGCTGTGCGAAAATAATAAAGGAAATGAAAAACATGATACAAATGAACTGACATACCCAATTATGTCGTGAAAGTATCTTTTGAAAAGGTCTATACTTTCATGCTGCAGAGGAAAAAAATAGAAAAGTCAGTTAAGACAAGTACATGCTGATTCACAGACAATGAAAGCTTTCCACGCAAACAAAAAAATTTATCCGTCCACATAATCAGACCAAACCAGACAATAAGACTCATACCTGGAAAACAAGTCTCTACTAAATTGTTCCTATGGTAAGCCAATCTACAATGTGGTAATATATGAACCTACAAATAGTCCTTTGGTGGTTTGAAAATAAGGATCTTTTACACAAGCAAGCAGAATGCAGTGCCTCTCAACAGAGCTTTCATTGATCATTGCTTTAGAAGTCTTCAGATTACTATTCAGATCTTATCTTATAGAATAAACATTGCTTAATGATGTACAGATAATATTCCTCACAAAAATGAAAGAAAGCAGTATAGATAACTATACACAGGAAGCAAAACGTTTTGTTTTAACTATACCTGAAATAGGGGGTGAAAATAGTTGATTGAACAAAATCCCACCAGGGTGAAGATTTGGTGGCAGTTCGGACAATGTTCTTCATTAGGAATGAACCAGACTGACTGAACAATAATTTATTTTAAGAATGAAAACTGATGTCCCAACACTATTTCACAATCAAATAACAAAGGGCTCATATACATACCATGTTTGATGGGGGCTGCAGAGAGAGCCGAGCTTGCTTCCAGCGTTGTGAACGGTAGTAAGTTTCAAATTTTTCTTTGTCACCCTAAAAATGAGAAGATGAAATGCATGAAGCAAAAAGCAATTAGGGGTGATAAAACTTCTCTTTAAAAGTAAAGGATAATATTCTTTGTTTTTATACCTTGGAGAGGACAAATGGACAGCATGAAATGGATTTTAGGCAATACTAAAACTATCTTGACCCTGACCACACCAAGGCCATTATACATGATGAATCAATGCAGACTACATTACAAATTACTAAGCAGCATCAATTTCAGCCTCTTTCAACATGCAGTCATACTTGACACGAGATAATAATAAAAATATTATATTGCTGCATTATAGTCATTTTGTGAAAACTAATGTACTTCATTGAAGGGTCTGAAAGAAATCATAGGGTGCACCCTAATTTGTTCAAGGTATTTTTATGCTCACTCTTTGAACTGTGCTGATTTCACTGAGCTGTGCATTTGTCAAGAACTAGAATTTTTAAAGAACAATGAGTAGAATGCCACAAAAAATACTGCAAACTGTGCCGTCTAAACACCCCCAAGAAAAAACACCAAAAAAATAAAAATAACAGGGTCAGGATATAAGAAAGACTACTAGTGACGGCAAGCACCAACACTTCTCTAGTTTTAGGTTTAATAACAGTTTTACAGCACTTGCAAACACAATCAGGTCAAATTAGCGTCCCCAAGATTAAAAGTATTAAAAAAAGAATAACAAACACAAAAAAAAGGAGGAGGAGAGCAAACCACCCCAGAACACATGCTGAGAACCCACGCAACAACACTTACCAGAACAGTGTATATATGCAAACACCTGTACACAGGTGAAAAGTCCACAAGATCTTGGGCACTCAGCTCCTGAAAACAAAAGATTGATCAAATATATTAATATGGCTGCAGAAAGTAGCAAAATGACATCCCCAAATTAAAACTATCATACATTCTACTCAAGCCAAACATATCATTTACATTGCTGTGATATTTAAAGGAAAGATTTGAAATGTTGCTCATTTGTACATTTTATCCCCAATTCAGAACTGTTCTCCCCATGCAGGTGAAAATAAAGTTCTACAGTATAAGAAATGATTTTCAACACAGAGAAGTGAAGCGACTAAAAATGTAATAATGTCCTTACACAGCAAATACTGTCGTATAACAAATCTGACACTATTTAAAATATTTCTATAAAAGATAAAATAAGTATTAGGATATCTTACAGATCTAAGTAAAGTCAAAAGAAGTCAGTCTTTACATGTTCAAAACCATTCCATATATTCATTTCATAGCAGTAGGAAAACAACCCATCAGAAAAGAATTAAAATTCAAACACATCAACACGATCATACCAGTCAATAAGGACTTGTTTAAACAATAACATGTGCACTATTCTTCAATATTTCATCTCTAATGCTAGAAGTCCATCCACAACATTTGGAAATCGTATTTTTTTTTAAAGAGCAGACTTTCAAAAGTGCAAAAACAAAGATCTCGTCTTCATTGACAAATAGCCATATAAATTTTTTAGCAGCACATAAGGATACCAGTTCATTCTGACCTCTTCAGCATCTTCACCATCACTCGGGGGACGAGGAGGTTCATAGTCAATCTCTCCTGTGAAAGGATTTGGTGGTGCTGGTGCTCTTCGTTTCTTCACTTTTTTCTTTGCAATCGTCGGATCCATGTTGTTTTGCTCTGCAGCCTGTGTAGAGAAGATAGAAAAAGAAATTATTTCTTTAGTTTAGTATAGTATGGCAGGGCTGCCTACCTCAGAGTTCCCATTTCAGGTAGATTCAGGGTCATTTTCAGGTAGTTTGGCCCAAAATCAGGTAGTACAAAGACAAAGAAGAAAAAAAAAATTATCGTTGCCCCATCGAACGCGCTTGCTTTCCGTGATATTGGGTAATTATATTTTGAAAACTTGTTTGTGCATCCACACGTGTGTGTTTGTGTCTGTGTGTTCATGTGTGCATGCTCTCGCACATCTTTATATGTGTGGGGAGGGGAAGGGGGTGTTTGGGTGCACACAAGTTAAGATGAACAATGTGCATGAAATGAGGCGAGGTTTAAAAAAAAAAAAAAATTTATGGACTATCGTTCAAGGCATCTATCATTCAGTATTGAATCTGGAATTGAGTGCAGGGTGATTGCCAAACTGACTTCAAACCGCTAGCCCATACCAATAGAAACTATATTAAAACAAATTTTCCGACACTAGCATAGGACACTGATAAGTCCTTTGTGACTTAGGTATAACAGACAATTTTAACTAGTTTTACCCTAAAAATACACAATGAATCCTGATCTGGGCCCCGAGGAGAGGCAAGAAGAACATCAACTGTGAGAGCGTGGGATGTAGTGATGATGAAAACCTGGCAATCTGTGAATCACTGCATCATGGACTAAGTTAAGTATTGACTTTTTCGAAATGCTAAATCACAGTAATACCTACAAAGAAAAAAACCCAAAAAAACTTTTTTTTTAAACTAGAAAGAAACTAAAACACAAAAAACCTTTATAGTTAGGCTTACAGCAGAGCAAAAAGTGAAAATAAAAGAGAGTGTGTACTGAGAGCCGGAGCGGGAAGCACTGTGAGAGCGTGGGATGTAGTGATGATGAAAACCTGGCAATCTGTGAATCACTGCATCATGGACTAAGTTAAGTATTGACTTTTTCGAAATGCTAAATCACAGTACCAGTTTTTATTCAGCAACTAGCTATCATGATGCATAGGCATCCAACATAGAGCTTTCCGAGGGTTAAAAATGGCATTTCCTCATAGCCACTATTCAATTTGTTATCACTGACAAATCCGACAAACCCGGGAACACCAACCTTGAAGATACAATCATCAAGCCAGTTCTCTAATGTTCCCTCATTTACGCACTCGATTGTTAAATGTCAAAACCACTTCCACTTATAGTTTTTATTTTAGCATCAGTTTCTTGCACCACCGCCTTTTCCTGTTGCCCTAGACTTTATTGTGTCAAACACCTCCACTCAATTGCGAAGCCCTGCAATGCTCCTACTTTGAATGAACTTTGATAAGGCTTTCCCCAACAACCACCGGCGGGTCCCTTACTCATGCCGTACTCACGAACTCTCACAGGTTCACTGACTGGTCACGATGACGGGCCCAACAATCTAGAAATCGGAGGACGCTTGTTTTCTTTTTGGGTCATTATAGTGACATCAGTGAGAACATAGAATTAACTTGTATGGCGACACTGCGTTTTTTATGCACAAACTACAAGTTGCAATTTTTTATTAACTGTAAATCTACTGTTAGCAAACTACAATCGGACAATTCTTAGCGGTAACGAAAGCAAAAGTAGATTTTGATTTTCCCGATAGAGTATCTGTATTACACTTGCACTTCCACCTGCCGCCATAGCCGCTTATTCGCGTGAAACGTACTCTCGGACTGGGGAAAGCTGAACGTAATACCACAAACGTGAACGGTAAAATATGAACTCAGTAGCCTTTTCAGATTTGGTTTCGAGGACTTTGTGCATTTTCTCAGGTCTCAGCGATTTTTTTTTTCAGATTCCCGTGTAATAAATTCCCGCAGTCCCCCTGCGTAGAATCCTCATTTGGTACTGACCAATTCTCTAGACCAAGACAGATTTTAGAATGTTTTGCTTCGATACAGATTTTCTTTCTACATTCACAATCTGTTTTCTAGATAAATGAATTAAATGCACAGATTTTCCAGCCGCAGCAAAAACCCGAAGACAGACAGAAAGAAAGAATAAATGAAAAGAAGGAGGAAGATTATCTATCGTGAGTAGAAAGATTTTTGCCGATATGCACGTGAAAAACTATTGCCGACAGAACGGCACAGATAGACAATGGTCGAGTGTACGAAATGCGCAATCTGGCAAATATCTGTCAAGTTACGGAGGCAAGTGCTGCTCTCTCTCTCTCTCTCTCTCTCTCTCTCTCTCTCTCTCTCTCTCTCTCTCTCTCTCTTTTAACGCATGGAGGTGATATGATGATGCGATAAGTACGAAACTTTTGGAATGTACGGATTTCCGTAAAAACAAAGAAGAATGGAAGCACTGCATAATGGGGTTTTTTTCTTTTTATTCTTTCGGCACCCATTGCAAATCCGGTCGTTTTGACAACTTATCGGTATGGCGGTAGAACAGGCCCAGAATCAGTATCTACCGGAAAAATCTGTAGATTTAGGCAGCCCTGATATGGGGTTTTACGGCGCTCGCAACTGCATAACGTCATATGAGCGCATTATTATTTCTTTTAAAAATATTAAGAGATCAGAAAACAACCAATTGTTACTTTTTCCCCTCATTTGATACTTTATTTTAAAAGGCTATTATTAACTGAAAGTGCAAAACTTCAAAGTTAGTGTCTTAAAGTAAGTACTCACATGTCTCATGGCCACTTCTCCAATCTTGGCAGAGTGTTTGCGAATACTCTCCAAGAAGTCTTTAAGTTCAGTCATTGAGGCTTCCTTGATGCGCTCTCGCAATTTTGGAATCGCATCAGCCATTGTTTGAGAAAACCAATGGTTTATCACTCGTGGAAGATAGGTGTGTTCAAGCTGCTCTAGAGTTTTCAGAGCTGGGTAATACCTACAAAGAAAAACAAACAAAAAAAAACGTTTTTTAAAAACCAGAAAGAAACTAAAACACAAGATAAGTAACTGAAGCCACTCTCCTTTTTAAAAAAAGAGTAGTTTCAGACTTTACCTGCAGGTTGAAGATATAGCATCACCAGCTGTGACAAAGAGTGGCCTTATAAAATGATGCTGCAAGAGAATTCAGCTGTACAAGCACACAGCCATCTTACCACTAGGACGAAAAATGGAAATTACATCAAACATAGAGTTGAACATGCTCTTGTGGAATCTGTTAAGACAATCACAAGTACAATGATCACTTCCCAGTTCCCCCCTTGCATTTATTTTGGTGTATTATTATGAAAATGTCCAAGCTGTCCATCTGTCTAAAACAATCTCTTTCTCTTCAACTATGAGTAGCCATCTCGGACAATTTTAACCGTATTATATCTGAACTAAATGAAACTTTCCAGCAATAGACCTACCAACCCCTTAATGACCAACATTAAGAAAACTTTTCAGTATTCTCCCATTCTCCCACAAACAACTTTGAAGAAATCTTACCTTTTGCTCTTCATTTGCTCTTGGAGTTTTCCATACATTTCTAAAACTGAAAAAAAAGAGACGAAATATCATAGAAATGTTCCATCAGATGTAAGAAAGATAAAATTGGTCTCAAAGTCTGCTGTTATAGAGTCCAGAAAACTGGACCATTTTAGTAATGAAAAGTAATAATAAGCTAAAGAAAAATATGCTTTAATGATAAAGATGTCATAGTTCTTTCAAGAGACACAATTCATTAATCCATGCAGTCTTCCAGGGGAATGAATTTCCAAGCATATGAGTGTGTGCCTAAAGAAAGGTACCAAAAGTCGCCACAGACAATTTCCAGCTACAGGCTGATAATGACAAAAAATAACTTTTTTGACCAAAATGTGTTTCCATTTTTTTTAAATGATAGTTGCTCCATTTTTTAACAATGTGTTAAAAGAGTTCTCATTGACTTTACTTCCAAATATTTTATTTTGAATTATTTTGAGGGTAGGGTATGTTTTAAAAAGATAATGGAAACTGTCAAAAAGTATTAAAATACATTCTTGACACACATCTTCTCTTCCCCACTATGTTTTACCATTGAATTCTAATCATGATATTGATGTCAACTGAATGCTGAATTGGAAATGAATTTACCATGAATAAATACATTAGAAACAATTGAAGCATTTGGTTTTTGTCTTTTAGTTTGTATGAGTTGTAAACTTAAAAGTTAATTTTCTCAAAATTAGATCTTCATACCTTACCTCGCAAAATGTGCAATATCTCAAAAACTACTTGAGATATCTCAAAAATTCAAAAACCACTGTGTTCAACATTGAATGTCCTATTAGGTACAACCCTTAATTCAAAATGGTGAAAATCTGACTTTTGGTACCTTTCTTTAGGCACACACACATATTTACTCACTTTTTTCTTTTACACTCATTTTTCAGAACCTTAAAAAGAACCTTCATCTTTTGATCCCACATCTGACTTAACATTCACTTATGACATTTTCTTCAATCAATATACAGCATATTTCATTTTTCAAAAATACAGCGACTTGACATTCAACTTCACAAGACTGATTTTTACGCATTAAATCTATTGCCATAGATATATTTACACAAAATCATAATACACAAGCTACTTTTATATTCTAGCACATGAAGCCCCTCGGAAATATAAAGCAAACTTGAAAATTATTAATAATAATAACAATGGACTGCAATTATGTAGTGCATATCCACTTATGCAATGCTCTATGCCCTAAACATGAAAAACATATTATGGAATTACAAATCAATTTTATAGGCACATAGTATTACATACGCGCGAACACACACATGCTCACGCACGCACCCACATAAACATACATACACATATACGAACATACAAACTCACGACGATCTACAGCTTGGATGGATTCTGTCTAATCGAAATATGAAAATAGAAATGCTTTTAGTTTTTTCTTTAAAATTTCTAGATTTTCTGCTTCTCTGATAGCTTTTGGAAGCCTATTCCAAATAAGTGGGGCAATATATGAACAAGAGCGTTGGCCATATGATTTGTATTTATTTTAGTTTTGTCACTCGATGATCTGAGTGTTCTAGGTGGTACATTGGGTGTTAAAAACTGTTTTAGGTAGTCAGGTGATAGATCATGATAGTTAAATTAGAACCACCACAAGTACCACTGAAAAATGAACAGTTAATTAAAAATGCACATTTTGTAAATCTAGCCTAGCCCTCCCTGACAAATCCTCTACACCAGATATATGCCTGAGGATTATATTCACAAAAATCATTACACACGATTTATAAAATCCAGTGCGTTCAACAATCACTGCAAGTTACAGTGGCCGGATACTCCGAATTGATGTTCATAAACAATTTCATGAAGGAGAGGTTCAACCATGAGTAGCTCAAGAATTATGAGGTACTAAATTACAGCCAAAACAGAATCATTCAGGAATTATAACGTAATTCTTACCTGGTAGACACAGAGACAGACTTTCAATAGCTTGAGTCACATTTTTCTGCACTTTTCTGCACTTTACCAATTCATCTCCAGCACTCAGCAAAGGGTCACAAGAAGTTTGTAACTCACGATTTAGCCCTTGAATTTCACCCTGAAAAAAAAAGCAGCACCTAGAAACATGCACATCCATAAATATAAAAATTGTATCTGATCTGTCTAAATGCTTAACTGTATGTATGTAGCCCAAGCAGTATTCCTTTTATCAGCAAAATTTACTTTTACCTTTTAAACGACACCAAATACAGACGTCTGTCTAATATTTTGTTTGTTCTAATCTGTTTTAATGACATGCCTGTTTGTGTAAACATTGTGATTCCACGAATTAAAACATTAATTCCTGTGAAACAAGGAAATTGACTCCAGGTGAAAAGAGTTTAAGTCCAACTACTCGTATATTATAATCATACCCCCTGCTAGAGCTTAGCAAGTAACTGACTGTAAGATGTTCTCACAGCGCACCAGATTTTTATGAACATGTCCATTTCATTTACCTTATATGTAACCTACAGTCTCCCTTTGCCTGACAGGCACCAAAAGGCATTTTCAAATGTACTCATATTTATACTCACAAGAGTTTCTTCAGGGGGTTTTTTTTAGAAATAAAAGTTGAATTTTGTCTAAATGGCTGCCTGAAAGGCCTGCTCTTCTTGATTTAAGAACTGCTAATGGATCTTTCATATACCAAACTTCCAAATGAGATCTCCGAAATTTTTCGTCCTTGTCAAAGACGACCAGGGGCTTTTACCTACCCTCCCTAAGAACACGGGTGTAGAAAACACGAGAAAAACAACACGCTGGTGGGGATTGAATTCTCGACCTCTGGGTTGACACTAATATTTGTTGAGCCACTGAACCCCCTTACCCAGCCTTAACGGGACAAAAACTGCCATGAATACTTCCATCAACCTTCACTGTCATTGTGTCTTCTCAACTAGAATGGTACCCATATTTCATAACGAAATCCATAATACTCTGGAGTCATTCAGGCTCAGATATCCTTACTTGTTCATTATACGACGAAAGGGGAACAGAAATTCCCCTCACACAGCCTAACCCAAGACAGTGACATTGGAGAAAGTCACTATATAATTGCCAAATATATGAGAACAAGACATTTCTATCATAAATTTACCTTCAATTTGGTGGCATCCCCACTGACTTGTTGGAGTTCTCTGATTGAATCTATGAATCCTTGGTAATGATAGTTGCACATTCGTTCAATTTCATGATCATGGCTCTTGATGCGGCCATCAAGCTTTTCCATAAAGTAGTCAATTTCATCTCCATCATAAACTGCCCTGGTAAAGAAGAAGATATGAATAAAATGATACAGGGGGGAACAATTTTATTGTTTTCCAAGTAAAATCACTTTCTCTGGACTGCAATCCCTAAAGCAGCTTCAAGCTACTTGAGGAAGAGGCGCACCAGTTCCCCTTTCTTTGCTGAGGGTGAAGGAGGTGCAGGAAGTGGGGGACAATATTTGAATGAGAAAGCGAAAGAAAATGAGCTGTGAAACGGAAACGGAGGGCAGCAAATGGAGATGGCAGAAATAAGTGTATCATCATAGAATAGCATGTGAATAGGTTCTACGGATGTCATAAATTGAGATAAATTTGAGTAATTAATCAACAGACAGGGAGATGCATATAAAAAAAAGCAGTTAATACCCGACCATCAACACAATAACGGTCATACAGTGTAGAGAAGAAGCAAGACAGATATAGACAGAAGCAACAAAGGGAAAGAAAAGCAGTACGACCTACCATTAACCAACATTGTCAAAAATACAGTTAAAATGGGAGGGGCTGAATAAGGAAGAGGTCAACACCAATAGGGAGGATGCAGTAGTCCTACAGATACAGTAAAAGAGGGATGATGAAAAAGCAGAGTAAGGACACAGGAATGAAAGGAGGATTGTAAATTGAGCAAACTCAAAGATCTGAAAAAAAAATTGGTTTCAAACAATTCTTATTCGCTTGTTCCTAGGTCAAATACAGAAGAATCAACAGACCTGCCATTTTTTAAATCTAAAAATCAGGATCTCGGGGGGGGGATTGGGATTTAGTGGAAAAAATCGGGATCAGCGACAAATCACTAGGGTGACTGCTAAACTGACTTGAACATTTTTCAGGTATGGTATATATTATGTATACCGCCCGTGTGTGAGTGTGTGTGTGTGTGTGTGTGTGTGTGTGTGTGTGTGTGTGTGTGTGTGTGTGTGTGTGTGTGTGTGTGTGTGTGTGTGTGTGTGTGCATACACATTCGAGTGTGTGCATGTGTGTGTGTTATATTATAATTCTTTTTTAATCCTGAAGTATAACGTCAAGCACTCCAAGTTCAAGAGTCTACTTTAACCCCACGCTTCAACCAGTCTTCATGAACTTAAGTTGATCCCGTCAATGGACAGTACCCGACACACGCGAAACTCACACACCACAAGTCATGTCACGTGATGCGAACACCTGACAAACAGATTTACTAACGGGTCTTGATGACTGGCCCGACTTACCAGAACTCTGACTAAGCTTGTCTTGAAAGTAACAGGACTACGAATAATACTGATCATTTGTATGAATGTATTTCACAATTGAAACAGTTATCAGGCCATCATTGGAGATTATATCTCAAATCAGAAGATAAATCAATACTACTTCCCTTGTGCCTTATAGTTAAAATAAAATGTGTGAGCAAAGATTCAACACAACTTGGGGTGAATCAACTTCTTAATCAGACATCGATATTTTGGAAAATAACGCTCCGAGTTCCAGCTGATAAAAAATTTTAAAGGGTGCTCCCCGCGACAGAGTAGAACGCAGAGTAAGTTTTTTAAAAAATCTGGCGCAACAGTCGGAGCAAAAAAATTGGTACACACACGATAGAAATTGAGAAAATCAGGATGATTGAGATTTGGGGCAAAAAAATCTAGATATCCCGATTAAATCAGGATGGGTGGAAGGTCAAGTCCACACAAAAATTCACTTCAAATTCAAGTAGGCCTCATCCTTATTCAACTCACAGGCTCTTGACCACAGAATGCAGACTTGCAAACCACTTCATGACCAAAAACAGGAGTTTTCCTCATAATGACTCCAATTAAAAAAATAATAGGTGGATGGCCTCAAAATCCTCCAAAAAAATAAAAGGATGGCCCCAGAACCCATGTAGCGTAGATTACCTTACAGACCAACTTTAGACAAATAAATGGGTATTGCAAAGACAGAAATAAAAATGTGGATTTTCAAATCATTTTGCCTACTACTATAGAAGTCGTGCTAATATTGCAATTAAAAACATGCATTTTTACACTTGATTGTAGCACAAATATTGCAAATAAATGCAAAAATATAATATTGTTATTCCAAGTCTTTTATTTTTTTGGTACGTGTTTTACAGCGGGACACATTAACTCACTCGTTGCCGGCGCCTTTGCTCAGACCAAGCCGCTGCCTGCCAACTATTTTTGACCTTTTTCAAAATCCAGTTACTCTGTACCTATTTATGTTAGATTTATGAAAATTGACCAGTTTCAGTAAGAGATGTTGAACTTTACAGAACAGAAAGAATTTTGACTCTATAACACTTTGTTCATGTTTTATAGCTTTTCAAAAAACGACAAATTTTGGCGACTAAAATTGTGGGGGGGGGGCTAAACTAGCCACAACAATATTTTTGCTGTTTTTGTGAGAGTGTTGCTGTTTCTGTACTAAAATACACACAAAAATATATTAACAAAACAAAAAAAACTAAATTGATAAGTTTATGATGACTTTGTGTAGATGCTTGAATCATTAGTCGTCATACTAGACTCTAGTACTAGTACTAGATCTAGCACTAGCCAGACCTGCCACTCTATGAAATCTAAAAATCAGGATTTTATAGTAAAAAAATCAGGATCTGATGAAAAAAATTGGGATCAACGGGCAAATCAGTCATAAGGGGCACTGGGGAATGGGGGATTGGGGGGGGGGGGTCTTGGTTCCCTTTTATGAGGCAAGTAGGCAAGATAAAACTTTTGCAGATATAAGTTCACACTTGGGCCTCTCAATTGCTTGAATCGGAGTTGGATAGACTGTGGGAGCGCAGGTTGCAGTGATGCTGAAACTCTTGTAGTCTTGAAAATAGCGTACACATAACTCTAATCATCCATGCAAAAAGCCAGCGTTTTCATACAGTAACAGCCTTTGACTTCGATCGGATATACACTCAATTAAAGGCACCCCCACCCCACAAGAAAAAAAGATTGTGTCAATGTTGTTCATTTATTTTATTTTTTTCTTATTCCTTTCCCCTCAATTAGTACATGTATCTCGGCACGCACTTTAAACCCAAGTGCAAACTCCCCACCCACCCCGGTCGTCAACACTGGTTAAGTCCCGAAAATCACCTCGACAAATGTGACCGGTGTGAATGAACTTTGTTGACCCCGACAGCCGACGGTCACCGACACACGCACTACTCACAACGAGATCATGTCACATGATGCAAACGAGCGTTTGAAAGTTTCACTGACAGTGACAGGTCTTGATGATGGGCCCGACTAACCAGCACTCAGACGAAGCTTGCTTTTAAAGCAAAGGCCGGACAACGTTCAGATTATTCTTAGACCTATGTCATAATAGTTACAATAATCAGGCCACCATCAGAGAATTCTGGGTAACAAAAGCGAAAGTAGATCTTGAGCTTATCCAAGTCGGAATTCAAAATCGACGATAACGTGTGTGAATGATCTACTAGATCCGGCACTGATGTTTTAGAAAATAACGTTTCAAGTTCCTGCTGATAAAAAGTCCAAGCAAAAGAGATTGCAGAACTTTTTATATTTTTTTCTAAGAATCGGGCCTAACAGACGTAACAACAAAAAATCAGGATACTGGCGATCGAAATCAGGAAAACCGGGATGCTTGAGATTTGGGGGAAAAAAATCGGGATATCCCGATTACATCGGGATGAGTGACAGGTCTGTACTAGCCCACTGTTGACAGTGATCTACCTCTTTCTCTCATCTCAAATTACCAATATCTGAATCAGAGTTCATTGAATCATATGGATTCAGAATCTCTAAAATTACGAACAATTTTCAATTCATATCGGCATGAGCATCGCGTTAGGGTTTGGTCGACTCGGCACTTTGGCCGCACAACGTTCAAAACAAAACCCAGAAATAGGACAAAGGGAACTCCTGTTCCAAAAATAGGCAGAACTTCAAGTGAAATCATTCTAATAAAGTGAAACTGCTCTGAGTGGTCAAACGGTTACTCTAGTAATTGGGCTATGCTGTTGCCGCATATGTGTCAGCAATTAGTAGAAATAAAGAGGAAAATACGCGACCGACAGGGGTGCATTAGCGGTGGTGAGCGGTCGTCGTCTATTGACTGACACAGGTGCGGCAACGACGGTGAGTGAGTTAAACACTTTTAGTTTGGTAGGAAATTTTTAATTTTTGGGTCCACCAAAGTTAAATCCCCTACCTTCCCCATCCCCTGCCCACCCTCAACCACTACCTCTCCCTCACCTCGCCTCGCAGCTGGCTTTCACTGTGCGCGAAGTCTGTTAGACTATTAGATTGCTTTTATCAATATACAGAAGGGAAACAATAAATCCTGGATTGTTGGTCCCTATATTAACATGTTGAATTATGTCCCTGTAATTGTACTTTTATTTATCTACCCTCACAACAAAGATTGTCTGATCTTAGTGATCTTTACTCACTCCTCCTTCCTGTTTCAATCACATGTACTCATGCTCATTATGATTTATTTAGTCTTGTCAGTGAAGCCAGAGAGGGCAGACCTCATATTATTTTCATCATTAAATTACCCTTCTTCATTTAGAAACGGAGTTCTTACTTTTGCTTTATTATATACAATAATGGCAAACAACCCCAGTGCAACAAAGTCGCCTGCGGAACTATCTCTTGTCTGCACGTAGAGAAATGAGTGCGTAGTTAGGCTAGGCGCGCATAGTAATCACGGACCCTGACCTGGTGGTCTGGTAAAGTACAATCCAGCCAGGTCTCTTCTTTGTGTTTGTTGGTGTGGTCGCTCGTTACGGAAGTCCTTCGCCTTCCCAAAAAATCCCACCTCAATTAGAGTTAAGAGTAGGCTACTTCAACTTGGTAGATCAAAGTAACTAAACAAGATCTCAGTAACAGTGAGTAGGATGTGAAGAACTGGAAAGTATGCAGATCTAGAATCTAGACCTAGATCTTATTTAGACTCTAGATCTAGTAATTGAAGTAATTGGACCCAAAAAAAAGTTGAAATTGAAGTTGAAGACATTGATTGAGCCCAGAATGGTGATCTTGTAGTTCTGTTCGTTAAAGTCCACAATCCATTTTTGTTTACATTCAGAGAAGAAATCCGGAAGTCTTGATGACCAAATAGGCAACACAAAGAACATGGATGCAACCTCTTCAAAACTATCAAATTATGGTAAAATCCACCCCTGAACACCCCCCCCCCCTCCATATTTTGATTAGGTCACTCCTCAACGATAACTGGCAAATCAGAGTCTCTGGCGTTCAGCTTTGGACTTTAACAGACGAAACTACAAAATCACCTCCAGAACATTGGTTGGCGTTGTGATGTGATCCCAACTCAAAATGTGATCAGTCCAAGTCTTATTTCACTGTCACCAGTAGAGATAATTTTCTCAACCTATCTATCAAATAGTAGAAATCTGGAGGGAAGGACTTCCATAACGAGCGACCATCCCATCAAACACAATAAAGAAGAGGCCTAACCCTAACTTTAACCCTAGCCTAAACCCTAACCCAAACCCTACCGGTACTTTTTCAGTAGTTCCCACCCCCCTTATTTGAGCCTGACCTAATCTATATCTAGAATCTAGATCTAGATCTAGATCTTCAGATACGTTTGATTCGCGGTGAGCTAAGATATCAAACCTAACAACTGCAAAACATTAAATTGTGGTAAAATTCAGGGGGGCGTGCCCCCCTGAAACCCCCCTTCCTATTTTTATTAGGTCAGGGGGGCAAGCCCCCCTGAAACCCCCATACTCTTGGGGCCAAAACCCGTAACAATTGCGGGGTGGGAACTACCGAAAAAGCGCCACCCTACCCCTAGATCTACCCCAATCCCTAGCCCTCAATTCTGCTCTGTCTCATTGTGGTCGCTCGTTACGGGAGTCCTCCAATTTAGAGGGCCAATAATAATATAAATAATTGACAACCAAGACTGAGAAAACAAAAGTAAAAGACAAGAAGAAAATCTCTAGGAGGCTAAGACTATCTAAGACTTCTAAGACTAAGACTAAGAAGAAGACGAGCAGAAAAATCTAGATCTACACGTAAAAATCTTTCGGCACAGCTTCGTACCTCAGTGTCGTAGCCAGAGGTCCTTCAGACGTTTCAATTTCTGTGATCAAATGGTCATGATGCGCTTCAACCGCCTCTTGTCGAAGGGTATCAGCATCTTGTACAGATACATTTAGTCTTTTCCAAGGATATTCTTCTCCGCTAGCACTGGGTGTTGCTTCCGCCATCTTACCATTATTTACATTGCGCATGCGCATATTGTTATGATATATTGTAAAACATGAGCCAACCTGGTTCCGAAACAATTAATTCCAGAAATTAATGACTGAGTGCACAACAATGATAGTACGTAACTTTTGGTGCACAAGTTCTAAACTCCTTGACAACAAGCGACAGTGTTAAAAATTTACATAATATTGTACTTTTTTGAATTTGTGAGGCAGCGTGGTGGAATCAGGCTCTCGTCGATTTTGGGGCATGTAGAGTTATTGGTATCATCCTAAAGCTTGTTCACTTGTCTTTCTTTGGATGAAAAATATATCCATTTATCTTGAATACAAGTCGAGATATTTGCGAATGAAGAAGGTGGGGTTTATACCTGTTTTCAGGGGTAAAATTAGTGACATAATTGCCGCCAAAGATTAGTTATTTCCTTAGCTTAAGAGTCCGTGGTAATAGAAAATTTTCATTTTTTGTGCCTTTAAATAACGTTTTTCAGAAAAATCCACACAGAAATGAGTACTTTAATGGGCATGGAAGGTGTTGAGCCAAAATACAAAAATTAAATAAAAATTCACAAACCTGCGGGAAAATGCAGGTTTCTCCACTTTGATTATTTTGACGAGAGCATGATTCCACCACGCTGCCTCACATTTGAATTTCAGTAAAATTTTTCTCGGACAGAGGCAACCGACACCACTGCAATTAAAAAAAAAAAATAGCAACGTAACTTTGGGTTCAGCATTTCTCTCTCTCTCTCTCTCTCTCTCTCTCTCTCTCTCTCTCTCTCTCTCTCTCTCTCTCTCTCTCTCTCTCTCCCTCTCTCTCTCTCTCTCTCTCTCTCTCTCTCTCTCTCTCTCTCTCTCTCTCTCTCTCTCTCTCTCTCTCTCTCTCTCTCTCTCTCTCTCTCTCTCTCTCTCTCTCTCTCTCTCTCTCTCTTCACTAATTTGAATATGTACCTTTCCCGCTGTGAGTTGGTTTGGTTTGGCTCGCTGCACTGTGCCTATTTCTGAGAAGTTGCAAGTGGGACCTCTGCCAAGTTCAGGTTCCACGGGACATCAAATTGCTGTTCGTCGATGCTCTGTATGTGTGGGTATACTTACACAAGGATAATATTATTCTGTTGAATGCTGAAGTGATACATCTCATTGCATGGATCTTTTAAGAGCTTTTATTTTTTTACTGTGAAAAGGAAAAAACTGTTGAATTCTTTCTATTATATGTACTATATTATCGTGGCTCACATTTATAAAAAGAAAGCGAAGCATCTTCTTAATATGATAAAGACAAATTTTAATATCATTGCTTAGTTCAAAATTGTGCCCACGCGCAAAGTAGGTGAGAAAGAGAGAGAGAGAGAGAGAGAGAGAGAGAGAGAGAGAGAGAGAGAGAGAGAGAGAGAGAGAGAGAGAGAGAGAGAGAGAGAGAGAGAGAGAGAGAAAGGGCAGGAGCGTGGGGTTAGGTCGAACTGCAATATGATTTGTTTGGGGTTCCTCAGCTTTGCAAAAGTAACAATGAAACATTCAATTATGTAATTAAGGAGGTATAACATCACCCCCCCCCCCCTACTTTCAATGGTATGCTTGTTTGCACGAGTTGTTTGCCGAAGTTGAAATTCAGGCAATTGTTTTTTTCCTTGGTGACCCAACTGGGCACGATATACGTAAAGTGCATACCGGTAAGTAAACCTGAGTGACATTGACCTCCTCTCGATATCGTCTTTAGTCGTATATAAAGAGACGTAGAAACTTTCAGTATGATACATGTACAGCTATAACAACGATGCTCAGGCTGACAGTATTAGTTGGCATGTTTGCTTTAGCTTTGCATACGGAAAAAGCGGTAAGTATTAGCCTACAATATATTATTTTCTGGGCGATTTAAAACTCCTCATGATGGTTTCCAATTAGCCTATACAATATTATGTAATGTGAAATTTTTAAAAAATATGTGAAGACCATGTTTATACAATTTTCTACAATGTAAAAGAATAAAACACTCATTTCTTTGGATGTTCGTGGAATAAAAAGGTTGAAAAAAACATTAAAGACCGTGAAGCAGGTGTGGTTAAAAGCCCAATTGTTAATAACTAATTCATTGTCAGCTACCGGTACTCAAGTATTAAGACAAAGTTTCTCACTGAACTCAGCGGGCACAGCTCATTGACTGCGTTATACTTACCATAAAGACTAAATGTGATATAAATGTTGTTATCACCTTAAAAAAACACCGTGTGCTTTCTGTAATAACAACAAAGGTTTGTTCTTCAAAAGTACTATCAAAAACGTTTTTCTTTCATGTTGATGTTCCATCTGCGCCAGACACCAAACGCCTTGTTTTAATTCTTAACAATCATAATTATCTAAAGCAGCTAATCAAAGAGCCGACACATCATAGGGTTCACATTTTAGACCTGCTAATTACCAACAGTGCTGACCCACATGTTCTTAAACATCAGGTTCTAGATAAGGCTGTCTCTGATCATTCTCTTCTGATAGCTGACATTAACATCTCCAAACCAAAACAAGAAAGAAGAAGCATACTTTCAAGGAACACGAGAACAATAGACACACAGGTACTTCGGGATGACGTGGGCAAAACACCGACAAGTCTATCATCACTAAATGCAGACACATTTCATGACACCCTGAAAGCGACAATCGACCAGCGTGCGCCAATGATGGGCCTAGAACGGAACATTACATCCAGACCTTTTTCTCCATGGTTTTCGCTTGAAATCAAAGAAGTCAAGCAACATCGACGTCAGGCACAACGCAGGTGGAGGAAATTAAAACTCCAAGTTCACAGAGACATCTTTATCAAACACCGAGACAAAGTCAATTCAGTTATCGAAAATAAACAAGAAAAGATACTATCTACATGAATTACAAGATGTGAAATCATCCAAACAACTCTTTCAGACTACCAATGCTATTCTGGGGAAAGAAATAATAACTTTTAGTCCAGTTACAGATAGTGATATTTTAAATTGTATCAATGGGTCAACCATAAAAACATGTGACCTTGACTTCTTGCCTGTTCATGTACTCAAAACCTGTATTGATATTTTCCTACCTCACATTACTCAGATAGTGAATATGTCACTTGCCACAGGCACTGTACCAAATACTTTCAAACAAGCTATAGTAAAACCTTTATTGAAAAAACCCGGGCTTGATGAAAATGTATTAAAAATCTATCGACCAGTTTCGAATTTGCAATTTGTCTACAAAAAAAATCTAGAGAAGATTGTTTTAAGTCAAGTTTTGGTTCACATGAGAAAAAATGATCTTGAGGAAATTTACCAATTTGCTTATAAAACTCATCATAGTACCGAAACTGCGCTTTTAAAAATAACGTCTGATTTATTGGATTCCGTTGATAGCAAAAACATCTGTCTTTTAACTCTTTTGGATCTGTCTTCAGCTTTTGACACAATTGACCATACTATTTTTACTCACAAGGCTTGAGCACTCATTGGCTTATCAGGTACTGTGCTTTCATGGTTTAAGTCATATTTACTAGAAAGAGTTCAAGCAGTGCAAATCAAAAACCGCTTTTCAAAGCAGGTCAGGCTCGATTATGGAGAGTTCCACAGGGGTCCGTTCTTGGACTAGTCCTCTTTACGTTATATACACCGCCCACAGCAAGCATTTTTCAAAATCATGGATTGAATTATCATTTTCATACCGATGATTCCCAAATGTATGTTAATGGCACCATTCAAGATCTGCCAAACATGATTTCTATCACAAAACAATGTTTTAATGAAATTAAAAAGTGGATGACAGTAAACAAATTGAAACTAAACGAAGAAAAGAAATACATCATTCTTATAGATAATCCACGATTATATAAAGATCTGGAAAATGTTAATATTGATTTATATGGGCACATGACATCTGTTAAAGAAGTTGTTAAGAATCTCGGTGTATATGTTGACAACCACTTATCAATGGGTTCGTTTGTTGTAGGATCTCTGTCCAATTGTCCAAATCCCTTTATTTTCAGCTGAGAAGGACGGCCTAATTCGAAAACACTTAAACGAAGAGACCACAAAAAGTTTGGTAACATCTCTTGTCCTATCTAGATTAGACTAATTAGACTATTGTAACTCACTCCTAGCAGGTCAGAAGAACAAATATTTGAATAGTTTACAAGTCATTCAAAACAATACCGCTAGACTGATAACAAGATCTAAAAGGCGAGACCATGTCACTCCACTATTAAAAGAACTGCATTGGCTCCCTGTAAAAGAAAGAACAATATTCAAAATCTGTGTCTTGTGTTTCAAATGTGTAAATAAAACTGCTCCTTTTTATCTACAAGAATTTATCAGTATATATTATTTAAGAGAGGGAGAAACCTTAGATCATCAAACGATAACACCGTACTTGTGACAGCCGTAAAATCATACCAATCATATGGAGAGAGATCTTTCTCATATCTTGGCCCATTTATGTGGAACAGATTACCCATGGAACTAAGACAAACAAGAATACTTGATAGCTTCAAAAGACATCTTAAGCATTTTCTGTTCCTACAGGCCTATCCTTCATAAGCTTTTAGCGTTATTTATTATTTTTAAATTACCGTTGTTCTGTGCCTACGTTTTAATGAAAATAGTGCGCGCGCGCGCGCGTGTGTGTGTGTGTGTGTGGGTGTGGGTGTGTGCGTGCATATATGTATATTTTGCATGAGAAGAAAGGAAGAAGAAAGGAAGAAGAAAGAAAGATTTGGAAAATGGGTATTCTATTTTCTAATATAAAGCGCATTGAGTTACTTTTTTGGAAATGCGCTATATTATAAATGTTATATATTATTATTAGTATTTCTTTTCGCAGGGAGCAAAATTAATGGATCAACCTCACAGCCAAGGCTGTCTTCACTCTGTTTATAATGATTGACAGGGTATGGGGAAAACAAAACGACGGCGTCATCGTGGGCACTGGTTGATTTACTGTTAAGACAAACATTTAACTACTACAACGTTTCAGTTTTTCTTATAGCTCGATTTTTATTATAGTCTTTAAAAAGGG